ACTGACTGTAGTCTTTAGCCTCTGGACAACAAAATCCTCCGATGACGCAAAATGACGATTTTTTTCCAGACAAAAAATACATAAATCTCTCGTCTCAGGGGGATATGAGAGTGGAAAACACGGTAATTTAAAAACACTACAGGTTTTCTACTAATACAAAGCTAAATCCTGAAGTATCCCTTTAAAAACATCTTTGTATTGATGTACAAAACTACAGTAGTGAACATTTGAAGTGCTTTTGAACATTTGAAGTTATACATGAATTGTGAAGGAAACCCGTTCTTGTCTCAGGACAACTTTGATCCACTTCAAATGTTGATTACTGTAGTTCATAAAAAGTGCTTCACACCCCTCATGACCCTCTTACCCCACAGATGGAGGACGTGGCCTCAGCCCCGGCTCTCGCAGGCCCGTCACAGCCCACGTTCCCTCGTCCGCCGGCCTCCGAGCGCCGCAACCGCAAGTCCGGCACGGCCAACATCTTCCAGGGGGTGAACCTGCGGCAGCTAAAGCGGCTCTTCCAGGCGGCGGGCGACCCGGACGCGGAGCAGCGGGCCCGCATGGTGTGGGGGAACCGGAGAGCAGAGGACGGGGCGGACGAGGAGGCGGAGGACGGAGGCATGGCGGAGGTGGAGACGGGTCTGGCGCAGGCGCTGGTGGGACTCAGGGTCCGAGCGAGGAACAGAAGCGGCCTCAGGGTGGAGTCTCATAAAGACAACACGGGAACCAGATGGGTCCGAGCGTTCGGACACCTCAGGTGAGACACACCGAAACTGCTGCAGCAGAACATTCGTTAAAGTATTTTTGTTGTTGTTGAGTAATGCAAGTATTTTTGCTAAGAATTTAGTCCTCAGTCGTACACACTCAAACTGACATGATCGAAAGGCTAGTTTTGGTTTTGTTAACGGTCACTTTGAATCATTGTAATGCTCATATACCGAATTGCAATGAAATGCAACTAAAACTGTCAATGAATGCATCTTTTTTTGGGGTGAATTTCATAAAACCATGTTCAGGTCACATTATACCTCAAAATCAAAAGATAAACTATAAGATGACATTCTGCATGAAGTAAATGAAGCTTACTTTAGGAGAATTTCTCCTAAAAACAATGCAAAAAGTAATTATTATTATTTATGTTTTTTGTAATGTATTTATGTATAAATGACTATTTGAATAATATATATTATTTATGAAAAAAACAATACTCATTCTTGTTTTTTGCAATGTAATAATAATATAATAATAATATTTATATCAGTAAACTATTTTTTAGTTAAACCCAAACAAAGCTCATTCTCATGCAAAAATAATAATGCTACATTATGTATCGGTAAAGTATTTTATACATCATATTGGCATTTGTTTACGGCCTTTATGCTGATTGCAATAAAAAAACATTGTATTGCAGAATTTTAGTTTACAATCTTTTATTCCAATTTCAGAATAATGAGAATGTAAAAAAGAATTGGGTGAAAATATGCTTAAGTGTCATTAAAAAAGTTGCAAAAACACCTTTTTCAGTTGTTTTTGTGGTTATATGTGACTCGGACATGATTTTGCAGGATTTATCCTTGTAGATTTACTTAAATGTCTATAAAGCTGAATTCTGATGCACATGGCAACTACAACAGCTTCACTGCCACTGTGTGTGTGTGTTAATGGAAACGTACTAATCTGAACAAATGTAGGCCACGAGATCAGCCACTCAAACCTTGCACGCTAAAGTAATCAGACTGGAAAAACCACAGGTCACACACCTGTGAACATTATAGTGCATGAGAATACTCTAATCATATAATTCAATTCACATTTATTTGCATAGCGCTTTTCACAATACACATCGTTTCAAAGCAGCTTTACAGAAAATTCATTACATTACAATTTACGTTATATATTTCAGAAATGTACTCATACAAAATCACAGTTAGCTAAAAATCTATTAATTTAAACAATGCAATGATTTAAGGCAGAAACAATGAGCTCATTGAAGCAATGAAAGCTTGTTTCCGCCACAGAATGAAAAATAAAAAAGGTATTTGCGACTTTTTATCTCACAATTCGGACTTATTTTTTCTCACTATTGCCAGTTTACATCTTGCAATTCTGACTATTTCTCAGAATTGCGAGATATAAAGTCAGAATTGCGAGATATAAAGTCAGAATTGCGAGATATAAAGTCGCAATTGCGAGATATAAAGTCAGAATTGCGAGATATAGTCGCAATTGCGAGATATAAAGTCTCAATTACGAGATATAAAGTCACAATTGCGAGATATAAAGTCAGAATTGCGAGATATAAAGTCACAATTGCGAGATATAAAGTCACAATTGCGAGATATAGTCAGAATTGCGAGATATAAAGTCACAATTGCGAGATATAAAGTCAGAATTGCGTGATATAAAGTTGCAATTGCGTGTTATAAAGTCAGAAATGCATGATATAAAGTCAGAATTGTGAGATTTAAACTATTCTGAGGGGAAAAAAGTTTTTTTCCCCTTATAATTGGCCTGATAAGTCGCAATTGTGAGTTTGTCTCACAATACTGAGAAAAGATGTCAGAATATCGACATAAAAACTCGCAATTATGTGTTATATAGTCAGAATTGTGAGATAAAAAGTCACACTTGTCTTTTTTTTACTCAGAATTCTGACTTTATATCTCGCAATTCTGACTTTATCTCACAATTCTGACTTTATCTCACAATTCTGACTATATAACACGCAATTGCGACTATATCTCACAATTCTGAATTCATATCTCGCAATTGTGAGATAAAAAGTCGCAATTATTTTTTTATTTTTTTTATTCAGTGGCGGAAAGAAGCTTCCATAAATACTTGTTTGTTAACAAACGATTTTGACATTTAAAAAAAAAATGTAGCATTGGTATATAATATAACGATCTGCATCTAATAAGTCGATGCATTAATTGTTTAATCATCCATAAGGATCAACGAGTGCTCACTGGGACCGGCGTCTGAAGTCATAACTGGAGAAGATAAAGACGACACTGGTAACGATGATTCGCCTGCTCTGGGAGCCTGTGGAGGACCGAGCTCTTCTGAGGCCGGATCATGTGATCAAGGGGACTTCCCTGAGGAAGAGGCTCAGGGGCCTTCGGCTGGCCCTCGGTGGAGCTGGAACGCCGCTCCAGAGAAAGATCCCGAACGCTACCTGCACCGAATCCGGCACTGATGACGAGAGCGGGAAGTGGAGCAGTGTGGGATTACCGAACGCATTCAATCAGATTACAGCCTGAGAGACTCTCCGCCAGCGCAGATTTACTTGAAGCTGCCGCCTCAATCAAACACTAGTCTTAATGGAGCAACGGTGAACACTACAGCACCTGACACTAACAATAACCCCCAGTCCTGCTGTACCCTAATGAACCGCTGACGGGTTTGGGCCATCGCACAACAGCTGTCAAACACTATTACAGGGTTATTTCACTCAAAAGTTAGTATTTATACTCATGCTCATGTTGTTCCAAACCCCAGAATCGATATTCATGCTGCTCTTTTCTACAAAACCGTGTTGAGCTCCAGAAAATGACACAAAATCACAGTGAAACTGGTTAAAAGTACAGCTCATGCATCATGAGTCAAGTCATGTGACTTCAGGAGATTTGTAATATGCATGAATCATGGACTATGTTAAAATGCATTTTTTTTTCTTTTTTTTTTTGGAGGGATGCACCGATATGAAAATCTTGGCAGATAACCGATATTTCTTTATATTTGAAAGCCGATAACCGATATATTGGCTGATAAATATAAATCCAAATTTTTTATATAATTTGAGTCTGATTACAAAAACTAAGTCTAAACATTAAGCACACCATTATAATGCTCTCATTAAGATTTTATGTAGCCGATATCACAGACTTGCACTGAACTATATTTTCTTTTTTGTTTTTTTTTAATGATTTCTATCAAGCTATTTATAACCATCATGTTGAACAGTGCACATCTGAAGTGTCTCAGCTGAAGGAAATAATACATTATTTATCGGCTTTAATATATCGGCCAAATTTTGTAATCGGGCCGATACCGATAACATTAAAAATGAACATATCGGCTGAAACCGATATGGTGGCCGTTTAAATTGTGCATCCCTGATGTTTTGTGTCCATGCCCATTCACTCATTGCGTTTGTGCTCATTATAATTATACGGAAATCAGAAACCGTACTGGTATGCGACAACATTATGGAAGCTTGTTTCCGCCACGGAATGAAAAATAAAAAAAGTAATTGCGAATTTTTATCTCACAATTCTGACTTTTTTCTCACAATTGCGAGTTAACATCTCGCAATCTTGACTTTTTCTCAGAATTGTGAGTTATAAAGTCAGAATTTGCCAGATATAAAGTCGCAATTGTGTGTTATAAAGTCAGAATTGCGAGATATAAAGTCAAAATTGATTGATATAAAATCGCAATTACGTGTTGTAAAGTCAGAATTGTGAGATATAAACTATTCTGAGGGGAAAAAGTTAGTCTTGTTAGTTTTTATCTCACAATTCTAGGAAAAGATGTCAGAATTTCAAGATATAAACTCGCAATTGTGTTATAAAGTCAGAATTGTGAGATGTAAAATCGCAATTGTGAGGAAAAAAGTCAGAATTGTGAGATAAAAAAGTCTCAATTCTGTCTTTTCTCGCAATTGCGACTTTATTTCTCTGAATTGCGACTATATCTCGCAATTGCGACTTTATTTCTAACAATTCTGACTTCATATCTCGCAATTGTGAGAAAGTCACAATTATTTTTAATTTTTTTAATTCAGTGGTGGAAACAAGCTTCCATACAACATGGATGAGTCAATGACAAACTCTCTTTAAATGCAGTGATTTAAGTCTCATAGAAGCTTCCAGAGCCCCTTTCAGCTTTTATGAACCGCTTATATGAATATATGGGGCCGAAGAGTGTTGGATTTCTATTATTTAATGATATATGCTGGTAATGTTTCCTCCAAAACACTAGTTTCTCAGTAGTCCTTTTTTTCAGAGAGTATTCTGCCTTCCACTGGTATTTTATGTTCGATATCTAAAAGTATAGAAGAATGTATTTGCATTTGCTGCGACAGTGCAGTTCTCTTCGCATCATTAGTTGTTTTAGCCTGTGGTAAATATGTAAATGATGCATTAGTATAGAGGTATGCTGGACACTAATCATTAGTGCTGAATATTTAACGTCTTCTTCTGTCACTTCGACAGACATTTAGAAAGCAATACAGATGAAAACATGTAGCCTAAATCCTCTGAACACTACAACATGCACAGGAACAAGAGTTATTTTTTTCTGCTCGTCACTAAAGCTGGAACTTCCAATTAAATAGTTTTTGAAATGAAACTCGAGTCCGTTCTTTTATTGAGTATCGCACTGTTGTTATAGCTTTAGCATATTTCATTAAATACATTACATACAAATTATACAGTCCATTGTCACGTTTTAAGGTCAGTTTTTTGACACCGTTGAATACAACTTTTAAAAAATTATAATATCTTCTGATTTTCAAACGAAATCAAACTATGAAGACAAAGAAGAATGATGTCACCGTGAGAATGGAACGATCCAGTGTTTCTGCACATGCTCAGTCGAGCTCCGGGGAGACTCCGCCTCCAGGCAGACGCGTGCGCTTAAAAAATGTAGAAAAATATAACGCTAATGGAAGAAAAAGCAGACGATTAAGTGTGTGACTTTTCAATGATTGTGAGGAAAAAACAAAACTAACACAAAGGCAAGAAAAAAAGACAGAAAACACCTATGAATGAGAGTTGAGCAGTACTTCCAGTCGTCAAGCGTCGAGGTTTTACTGCAGCAGAAAGTTTCTCCTTCACTGTCTTACTGACATGCAAGTTCATCCGGTGTAACAGTCCACAAGGCAATGCTCTCCTCCAGAATGTGTGTGTGGGAAAGGCTTCTCGTCAATCACTGGATCTTTTCCCACTTTCATTTGTTCCCAAAATGCCAATGAAAAACAAAAATGCAACTAAAATCAGGTTGCACACACACACAGATAAAAGCCCGGATCACCACCAGGTGAAGAAGGGTCTTCTGCTTTGGAAGCTCTGCGTGTAGGACTCGCTGTTGGCGCGCTGCGGCGCTCGTGCCGTCTCCACGATGACCGGCGGCATCTGCACCAGCTGGAGCGGCGTCTTGCCTTCCCGCAGCGCCTGGCTCAGATTCAGGATCTAGAGGAACAGGACATGAGTGGGAACATCTCAGAAAGAGAAGTGCATTGAAAGAGATGTTGAGGATGAGAGTTTAAGCTCATTTATTTTGCAATTTTAGGCTGAATAGTTTTTGAACCGTATTAGAGTTCACATGAATCCCTTCCTTTCTTGCAAATTTCAGTTAATTAATTAATTGCATTTTTTTTTCATTAATTTTCAATTAATTGCATTTTTATTTTTGTCAAATAAGGTGTCATATAAAGTCATATGATTTTCCTTAAAATTTTTTATTGCAAATACTACTTTACTATACAATAGTAATATGTTTCCATCATAATTTCAAGATTTTCAAACTTTTATTATGGCGGGTTGTCATGAAGACTTGAGTTTCAGTGTGTATTTGACGATAAATGCTATTAAATATTACTCAAAAGTTTATAATTAAATTGATATTGTGGATTTATATTTCTCAATAAATATCAATACTTATTTACCGCCCAGCCCTACTGTATAATGTTATTATATATAATAGCAGATTAGTGTTTTTTCAGTGTCTTTAAACACAACTAAAAAGATGTTAAAGACTCACCTGCCCCCTCATGACGGAGACCTGCTTCTTAAACTGTCCTCGGTCAAAACCTGGATCTTTCTGCCAAAGTTAATGCAAGTGTAAAGTCAATACTGAGCATTCATTTCATAAAATATACAAACATATCGGCGATTCCCCAGCTTAATGTAATGTCTTGCCTTAAAAAGCTCATATAGATCTTCCTCGAGGTCTTTGATGAAGTTTGGGTCGGAAAATTTGGGAAGAACTAAATCTCGGATCTCTTGGGAAAAGGCAACTTTAGCCTGAGGAAGCCACGCCCAGTAAAACGGATCTACGGGAAAACACATGCAATAAAAACACTGAACTACAACAAATGAATGAAAACACCTCTAGTTTGTATTTAATACTTATCATGAATATTACAATGTGATTGGCCAGTAGATGATCATGTGTTTGTGAAGTGGGTGATGATTGGCTTACAGGCTCTCCATGAATCCGGGTGTTTGAGAGGGAAGGCCAGACCATTGTCAATGGCTGCCAGTTTGATGATGGGGTCCTTCACTAACACCCAATCACTGTCCTGAATGGTAAACACAAACACTGACATGAAAACACAAGAACGGGATGGAAAATCTTCCATGAATATCTGAAATAGCAGCTGGTTACTCACCCTGTTGCTTGACGTATCCATCGGATAGTCATATTTTATGAGCCAGTTGTCATTTCCTCGGTCTACAGATCCATGCAACCACACAAACACAAACAATGCATGTTAAAAACTTAAAATAAAGACAAAACATCCTCTGGTGCTCTTCGCGTGTGTGATTTTAATATTTTTAGGGGATTTTTACCTTAGGTATATTATTATAGACCTGAAAATGTATATTTTTTTTTGGGCTGGGAAACGATTAATCGCATCCAAGGAAAGGTTTGTGTTTACATAATATATGTGTGTGTGGTGTGTATAATTATTTTGTATATATAAATACACACACATGCATGTAAACATTTAGGAAATATTTGCATGTATATACTTTATATATATTTATACAAAATTAATATTATACATAAATATAAATATTTGATATATTAATAACACATTTTTCTTAAATATATACATGCATATGTGTGTATTTATATATACAAAATAATTATACACACTACACACACATATATTATGTAAACACAAACTTTTATTTTGGATGCGATTAATCGCGATTAATCGTTTCCCAGCCCTATATTTTTTACTTTAACTGTCATAAATCTTATGTATAAATCAATAATTTGATCTCTTTTTAAAGACGACACTTGGCAGATTATTGCTGATGTGAAAAAGTGTGACCATAAAGTGACAGCATTTTACGTGTATTGTTATGAAAAATGCACAAAAATACTATTTTCAATTTGTATATGAAATATATATTTTCAAAAATACTTTTACTCTAAAACTGTAAAAAAAAAATTAAAGCCATAAATCTAACAAAGTTCTATTCCAAATTTGAGCTTTATATCTCAAAAATTGAGCTTTCAGTAAGATTTTGTTTCGGCTGCAGTACCAAAAGTTTCCACTAGGTTAAATTTCCAATGTGGTCCGCGAGGAGCCATTTAACCTTTTTCGAATCATCTCCATGATTTTTTTATGTGTTCACATTGCAAGCGCGAAAACATTTACCAATTTTCGTACCATTCCAATCAATTAAATAATTCGAAAAAATGAACGAAGAGCACCAGAGGGTGCTCCATTTGTTTAGCCTTTGCTCGTGGTTACCTGTGTTTCTGATTATGTAATCCAGCACTACCAGTCTCTCAAACTGTAGCTGGAGTTGGCGATTAGTGTTTTCGGGTAAAGGCTCGGCCTCGAACCTCCGCAGCCAGAAATCTGCGTCTTTATACCCCTCTACGAACAGCTGAAATGAGCCCACCTGCAAAGCCAATAGAAACCAGTTCACAAACCTACAACAGCCAACAGAAACTAGCATCACACAATGGCGTTAGATAAACAGAGTAAACCTACAAGAGCCAAAAATGTGTCATCTTCCTCCAGGCAGAAAGGTGGCGCTGTTATGAAGCTTACCTTAGGTGGCAGGCCAATCCGGTGGAAGCGCTGGCCCACCTTGGGCACTTTTTCTAAAGCTAACCTCTTTCCTCTGGACTTTACTCGATCGATGGCACTGTAATTAAAGGTCTCGCTTGCTAAATACACCACCTAAGAGAAAGAGAGCACAGTATAGTCTCAGTATTTGAGTTTCTTGCCATATCAGCATCACCGGCTATTGCATGGCAGAGACATCTTAAACATTTAAGGACAATATAATGAAAACAAACTTAGACCAAACAAAAAAACAATAATAAATACAGGTCCAAAATGAATACAACTCAAAAAATTTTCGAGTTTATCCTGATAAAGAGTGGTGTCTCTTTACAGTATTGAAAGAATTTAATTTGACTGTATACCCTAGGACATATCTTCAGTCTTCAGTGAGTGTGTGTGAGGTAACCGTTATGTTTAGCCTGTGGTTGACTAGTTTGTTTTCATGCGTGTCAACAACAGGAAGCGAAAGAGGTTCACAAAACCATCACGACTAAACGTTCTCACGTCCTCGTTCACCTTGTTTAGGTATCAGTGACGATGCGTGTGTGGGGGTTGTTGTTGTCATACCTTGGTGCGCGGCACGATGTTGAGCTCCAGTTTCTGGTCCACTAAACTGGCGCCGGCCTCTGACAGGTAACCCTGATTCAACACCAGACAGTCCCGGCCGAAACAGCACGGACAGCAGAGCTTCTGCAGCCATTTGGTCCACTTGGGGTTCAGCTGGCCGTACGGCTCCTCGTTCTTTGGTTTGTAGACTCCGATGACCTTCTGTTGGGGTACATCAGATATATCAGGTCAGGTTTTCCGAAGCGGCACCATACATCTGAAACACTACAATCTGCTCAAACTGTCTTTCACATGTTCCTCTTTAGCTTGTCAGTGAAAAAGAGAAAAATCCCTTTGATGCTGCCGTACACTTTATATCTCACATCCAAGGCCCTGTTTACTCCTGGTATTAAGATGCGTTTCGGTTGATCAGATTACAAGTGGACGACACGAAATACAGGTGTAAATACAGATGTTAATAGGTGTAAACACAGGTGTTAATACAGGTGTAAACAGGTGTAAATACAGGTGTTAAAATAGGTTTAAACTTTAAAGGTGTAAAAACGTGTAAATACAGGTGTAAATACAGGTGTTAAAACAGGTGTAAACACAGGTGTTAAAACAGGTGTAAATACAGGTTTAAAGGTGTAAATACGGGTGTTAAAACAGGTGTAAATACAGGTGTAAATACAGGTTTAAAGGTGTAAATACGGGTGTTAAAACAGGTGTTAATACAGGTGTAAATACAGGTGTTAAAATAGGTTTAAAGGTGTAAATACAGGTGTTAAAACAGGTGTAAATAGAGGTGTAAATACAGGTTTAAAGGTGTAAATACAGGTGTTAAAACAGGTGTAAACACAGGTGTTAAAACAGGTGTAAATACAGGTTTAAAGGTGTAAATACGGGTGTTAAAACAGGTGTAAATACAGGTGTAAATACAGGTTTAAAGGTGTAAATACGGGTGTTAAAACAGGTGTTAATACAGGTGTAAATACAGGTGTTAAAATAGGTTTAAAGGTGTAAATACAGGTGTTAAAACAGGTGTAAATAGAGGTGTAAATACAGGTTTAAAGGTGTAAATACAGGTGTTAAAACAGATGTAAACACAGGTGTTAATACAGGTGTAAATACAGGTGTAAATACAGGTTTAAAGGTGTAAATACAGGTGTAAATACAGGTTTAAAGGTGTAAATACAGGTGTCAAAACAGATGAAAAACACAGGTGTTAATACAGGTGTAAGTGACACTGAAGACTGGAGTAATGATGCTAAAAATCCAGCTTTGATCACAGGAATAAATTACAGTTGAACAGATATTCACATAGAAAACACTTATTTTAAATTGGAATAATATTTCAAAATATAACTGTTTTTACTGTATTTTTCATCAAATAAATGGGGGATTGGTGAGCAGAGGAGACTCTTTCAAAAACATTAAATATCTTACAGACATGCAAGCTTATACGCCCAACACAGTTAACTCGACAGTTACTTATTCTTCCTCGTTTTCAGACACATTAGTGATTTCCCCATCTAAAAGCGACCTTTAACAAAGACTTCATCTGGTCTCCATGACTCATCTCTGATTTGATTATAAGTGAATGAGAAACTGGCCGGGCGCACCGCCTGACTGTGCATGTGGTCATGTGCTCAGAGACTCACTAGTGAGCAGATGAAGCATGCAGGCGTGTTCCCCGCCGAGAGGTCGAACACTAGCACTTCCCCGGTCAAGATCAGGGGCCGGTGCATAAACTACTGCGAAGACTAGTCCTAAAAGTTAATCATCAAATTTTTTTTTATTTAAGACTGTTAGACATAGAAATGTAGATTAGTCTAATTTGATAATCAATAGAAAGACTGATTACCTCTTACTAACTGCAAGTTGTACTAGTTCTTAAGACAGTCTTAACAAAAATGCAACCATGCAAACAATCATATAACGCAGGAAAACACCAAACTAACATCAGATCAACACACTTCTGCCCCCTACAGGCCGCAGTGTTTAGTCACTTCTGCCCCCTACAGGCCGCAGTGTTTAGTCACTTCTGCCCCCTACAGGCCACAGTGTTTAATGTGTTTATTCACTTCTGCCCCCTACAGGCCACAGTGGTTAATGTGTTTAGTCATTTCTGCCCCCTACAGGCCGCAGTGTTTAGTGTGTTTAGTCACTTCTGCCCCCTACAGGCCACAGTGTTTAGCACTACTCAGTCTGAATGACTAAACTCATCATGACTAATGATCATGCCCTAAAACTCTCCTAAATTACTTCATAAATGAAAAATGTGTTTGTTTGCAGCCTGTGTGCAAATAGAAATGTTTTTTTTTGGTCACTTCTGACTGAAAGCTCACATCCTTTTCCCTTTATATTTTCCTTTACATTTAAACTACAGTAAAATGAAATCAGAACCGAATAACACGATGGGCCCGAGAACTACCACAGAAAACGTAGTAAATCTCAATTCCTCTTCATCTTGATGGAGTGAAACTTTTCTATAAGGATTAACTCAGTTCTGAACAGGCACACTGAAACAATCAGTCAGTTTGTGATAAATATAATCAATAGAAATCATTTTAAACTTTCAACACTTGTCAAATCTGGTGTTGTGAAGCTAATCAAAGTGCAAACCGGGTCCAAAGCCCAGAGTTTTGAGGCTTTGTGATTCTGTGGCTGAATGAAAGAAAGCCTCATACTCGTCTAACACACTGCAATGCCATAATCTCACAAGTCATATGGCAGAAATTAGGCGGTTTAGCGCATGTGACAAGTCTTAAACCAGGTCTTACTTAAACTATGACTCTCTCATGGTTATTCCAGGATTTCATTTAAAGAAGTGAGGAACTGTCTATTTACTGGTGAAATACCCATCATTACTAAATAACCCTTCAGTTCTGCCTTTTTAAAGTCCTTTTGAAAAGAAAAAAAAACTTTAAAACACACTTCTCTCTGCTGTAATACTAGATTTCAGGGTTGTTGTTATTGTAATGTAAAAATATTAAAATTAATTTTTTATTTTTTATTTTTTAAAAGTCCATTTTATATACTAAAATTAATTTAAAAAATTAAGCTGAAATAAAAAAATAAAGCTAAATACAAACATATTTAAAAACTAATCAAAATTACAAAAGCATGTTAAAAAAATATGAAAATAAATAGTTAAATGTAAAAATTCTAAATACCATAATTTTAAAATAATACTAAAAGAGCAATCCACAATCTGTCATTATTTCTAAACACTCTTTGCATTTAGAAAGTTACAGCCCGACTGACAACAATCACCAATACAAATATTCAAGTCATTTAATAATTAACTTGATTGTCCTTCAGCTGAACACTTACTGACACTTATGTCTTACACATGGAAACTTTACAGTAAGTACCCACTAATTAATGCATTAACTAACATTAAAATGAGCAATACATTAATCTTTGTTAACGTTAGTTAATAAACAGAATTGTTCATTGTTAATTCATGTTAGCTCAGGTCCATTTAAAAATGTTAACAGATATAACTTTTTGATTTTAATACTGTATTAGTAAAACGTTAAGAACTGTGAGCATAGACGTGAAAATGCAGTATTCAAACTCAAATGGTTGTAATTCATGAAAGCTTTAGAATACAGTATAAGGCTGGTCTCTTTTTAAAAAAGACACTCGGATTATTGCTGAAGTGAAAGTGAAATGAAAAGTTTACAGTAAGGCAAATGTACTGTACTAAAAGAACAATTTAACAAAAATAAATTGCTATAAAATCAAAGCCATATGTCTAACCAAGTTGTGTTTCAAATTAAAAGTCAATATAAAAAATAATTAAAGTTCCCATGAGATTTTATTTAGGTGTAATACCAGAACAAGCCACTGGGTGAAACCAACAATCCATTGAATGTTTCTGATGCATCCTCCTGTAACAATATCACTTCTATCACAAAACGGCCACCCAATATGTAACCTTGAGACTCTAACCTTTCCAAAGATATGTGACTTGTCAGGATTAGAAAAAAACTGAAGAAGAAAAAATTAGAAAACATGACTCCGCCCATTAGGGGAGGAGCCACTAAAAAGATTTAAAGAACTGTTTCCTGGTGCCCAATTCAAAATGGTTTTCCCATGTTGAATTTTGAGTGTTTAAAGCTTTCAAATGATACCTAATTTATGATGATATTTTTTTAAACAGCACCTAGGGGTCAACAAATGCCATCATTGTTAGTTAATTTTTAACTAATGTAGTTAACTAATGTTAATAAATGGAATATTACAGTAAGAAATAAATCTTACAGTATTTTCCTGATCAAGCCGATCTGTATCTTTTGTGAGAGCTGTTAACCCTGTATTCAGGTTTCATATAATAGTAGTGCGTAGGTAATTGACTTTATGATAATAAACGCACTGCTCAGTCGTTTCACCAGAGAGAGAGAGAGAGAGAGAGAGATTCAGAGAGAAAGTGCTAGTAAGCCTTATCGATCAAAGACCTAGAGAGTTGCCAACCGAGGCATCATGCCCAAAAACAGTCTAATGTTGAACTACAGCCCTGATTAAACTGTTCTCCTGTTCTCCTCATCATTCATGTACACATCCCTCCATTACACCTGTTTTTATCTCCACACACATTACTTATTCATCAAGTTTATAATTAAGGATTGCACATCTGGCTCTAAAACAAGGATGAAGTCGTGACAAGTTTCAGATTTTCAACGTTAATTTGATAAAAGGAAGAAACGCAGTTGAAGAAGAAACGTCATGTAAAAGCTCAAACTTCAGATTTGTGTTTTGCATCACTCGAGGCCTGACCTGATGACATAGCTGTTACGGTGATCTCATCAATACACAGTCACTCACAACACGCTCATCTCGTGAACAATGCGCATGAAACTGATTGTATGTAATTAACGATTAACGTTACAGATATATGATGAACTCTCACCCCTGTTGAATCTTTGACGAAGTAGCTGCCGCTGGAGCCCTGATAGATGCGCTCCGGGTAAATGCCCTCCTCGATGGCCCGTTCTGCCTTCCGGATAATCTCTCTAAACTCCGGGTCCTCCGGGAACTCGTTCCTGTGCGGGTCCCGCGGCGACGAACCTCGATCGCGGTCCAGGAGCGGCTGTCGCTCGCGGCTCCGTCCGGGACTCCCAGCCGGCAGACGCACCACTGAGCCCGGCGTGCCTCCAAATCCACCCCGGGGACTCGTCGGCTCGGTGGGACCGTAGCTGAAATCGTTTGAATCGCGAAGCGGGGACACTAGCGGGCTCGTTTCGTCCATCGCGGAGAAGGCGATAGGGGGAATGGGGGAATTACACGGGACAAGCGTTTGTTTGTTGCTGTAATGAAATGATGCGGCTCCGTACAGCAAATCGCCAACAAACAAATCACATGACAGCTCGCTTCCGGATAGAGGCGGGGACGCTGCGTCATCGCAATGGCTACTGGCCAATCAGCGCTCGAGACCTCTCTTGTTTTTCCATATGCGTACTGTGATTGGTTAGAATGGCACCACCCACATCAAGCATGTGACAGAGCACAACATAACTCGAGTTAGCATTAGAATTTTAAACGTTGAAGAGATATGAATATGATAAGTAGGTGTGGATATGTACGCATAGATTGTGTACATATGGGAATGTTATTGTGTTCTATTTTTCTATTTTTATTGTATGTTATGTTATGGTGTCTTTGTGTGTGCATGGTGTAAAAGCCAAATACAAATTTCCACTTGAGGACAATAAAGGAACTAACTAAAGTTAATTATAACAGCAGAAAAATGTGTTTGTGTTTTTAAATGTGTTTAACAATGTTTTACATGTTTAATTATAACCACAGAAACATGAAAAAAAAAAAAATGGAAATACGAATATAAACAATGGACAAGTTTAAGCCAGCCTGCACTGATGCTGCATTGACTTATGTTGCTAACGAACATCTGAATGTGTTTGCGGGAAGACAAATCTTATTTTAAACCAGATACTTCTTTAAAAAGTATTTTTGACCTATAGACTATAGTATTTGTAAACATATAATCACTCTTATTGCGTGCTAAACCCAGATTATTATTATTATTTTATGGAGCGCAATAGAATGAGCTGAACACAGAGGCTGCGCTCTTAATGGAAGTGGATGGGGACTACTGTTAAATAGTCTCTTGTTTTGATAGTCCGTCAATTCAGCACAATATGTTTGTGTTCCATGAAAGAAGATGTCTTACGGGACTGAAATATCTTGTGTACGTGAGTAGATGACGGGATTTTCATTTTTGGGGTGAACTGTTCCTTTAAGAACGGTCTTCCGTTCCACTATTGAAATATCGGTAAATTACCACGGACACGTACAGCTTTCTTTGGCAATCATCTACATGACTCTCTTTAGGGAAGTGTTCGCTGTGTGTTGCTGTGCTGGAGGATGATGATGACAGAGCGGCATCACGCGCGGGGTCGCGACGCGACCTGGACAACGCGACGCGCGTCATATGAGCTTGTTGTAGCAACACGGGTTTCCACGGGGAGGAGAGAGGAGGAGACATGATGAGGCTTTTACTTCATGATGCACAGTTGACATTTCAGTGAGTCTGCCGGTTTAACATTTGAGCAGATGTTTTGAGACTTGATTTATTATATTATATGTTTAAGCATTTGAATTTTCATTTGAAACTTGTTTGGAAAAACTTCCACTGGTTAGTTCCGCAACTCTGATCAGATCGATGGAGTCAGGGCCGACAGCTGAGGACTGTTCCCCGGTCAGCGAGCTCTCCTTCGGCCTGCAAAACCTCCAGTGTCAGGACGGGTGAGAGAAACACACCTCTCTCAACATAAGGGATCATTTATTCAGCAGCATTTATACATTTTTATTTTGACGTTTTCTAAACGATTTCATTAAAAAAGATGTTTTGTGAGCATTTACTTCATCATATTGTTTATATGAATACATTATTGTTCAGTGATAATAATAATTATTAATATACATACTTTATAACAACAATAATAATATAAAATCCATAAAATGAAACCTAAAGTATAAGACATTTTGTAGTTCAGAATTGCAACTGCCATATTTGGTGCAAATAATATTTAAAGCAGTTAATCATTGCTTTGTCTCATAAGAGTGGTCAAATGTGTCATCATATTTTAAATAAGAAACTGATTCTTGTAAAATTATAGATTTCAAAGTAGTTACATGTTGTTGTTTTTTACCTCATACTCCCCCTTTCCACCACAATAAAGTGATGTGTTATTGTAATTTTGACTGTATATTTTTACTATATTTCACACTAGTTTTTTTTTATTATTTTTAGAAAAGGCTGCAATTTTGTTTTATATTGTGTAAAACTGTTAGCTGTGTGTTAAAGCTTATATTTGATGCCCATTTTCTGTAAGTCTGAGTCCAAAGAGCTCGGCCCCCTGGAGAAAGCTTTTGACGCCTGAATGCACCAGTCCGCCGCGCTACACACTCTCCAGGGACAGAGAGACGCCGACAGGTCTGGACACGAGCCTCACACACACACACTGCTTAATTAACTCTCCTCTGAGGACACTTTAAACTCAAGCTCTTCCTCCTTGTTTTTGCATAACTGACAGATATAATAGTTTTATCTAGTCTGTTTGATCAAGAGTATTTCCTACACATCCTAGTCACTTCTCTTCAAGTGTTTCTGCTTAAGATCCAGGTTTGAATGTGTTAAAAATCATGAAGGGACAAGGAAATTCGATCAAGTTTAAATTGATCAAATTGACTGAAAACACACATTTGCATGCACATATTCTTTATGTATATATTCATTTCAAGAATTACTAGATCAAAGTCCTGAATTTGAGATTAATTTACTGTGAATGTTCTCTCAGTCTCTGCAGCGAGAAGACGACGAGCAAGGTACAATAAGCATGAGCTCATATTAATAATGCAGTTGATGAATAATCTGTGATGATCTGTGGTGTTTGTCTTGGCAGAAGCCTGTCACCCGAGTCCTCTTCAAACACGGTAGGACACGACCAGCAACCAAACACAGTCACTGGAAAGGAGTTGATTCTGTTAATTTTGACATTATTTGGATCTCCTGATTCAGGCCATGTGTCAGTGGAGGGACCGTCCCGATTCTCCTGCCCATAAAGAGACTGAGCGAGCCTTTGTCAGTAACGCTTCTACACACTCTCACTCACATTAGCCCACGTATTATTTATGCAACCAAAATGTCCTTTGAATTATGCATGTAAATCGAATTATTCTCCTTATTTGTAACTGAAATGTGCAAGGCTATGATGTCATCCGTTATTTAAACTGAAAAAAAAAAACTAACAAACCCCCCCCCCCCCAAAAAAAAAAACAATGCACATTTGTTATTTGTTATCAGACTATTTTAATTTATTATCAATTATAATTTAATTATCAATTTATTATCAATATAATTATGACACACTAAGTCGAAATTATTACATTCTAAATCAAAATGATGACATACTAAGTCAAAATCATAAGCAAAAAAGTAAATAATAATAACAATAATACCATAATAACATAAAAAGTTAATATTATGATATTCAAAGTCATATGTATGACATACTAAGTTTTAATGGTGTAATTCAGTTATGAAAAAAGTCAAAATTATTAAATTCTGAATCAAAATGATAACATAAAAAGTCAAAATTATAACATTCAAAGTCATTATTATGTCAAATCAAAGTCAAAGTCATTATTATAATGTCATAATTGACATTCAAAGTTGAAACTATGGTATAATAATGATATCAAAAGTCTACCTACACTGTAAAAAAATATTGTTGGTTTAACTTAAAAAAGTAAGTAACCTGATTGCCTTAAAATTTTAAGTTGATTGAATGGGAAAAAGTGAGTTAATACAATGAAGGAGATTGATTTAATCATCAGAAACTCAAAATAATAAATTATGTCAACTAAATAAATTATTTAAGTTGATTTGACAAAAGAAAAAATGTTATGATAACAAATCATGAAATTTTTTTTTACAGTGTAGTAGGCCTAAGCCATAATTTTGATTTTTTTAATCTCATAATTTCAATTTTTTAAATCTAATAAATATTTTTTTTTGTCATTGGTGTGCAATTATTTTTAATTTTTCAATAATTAGCTTTCATTCACATTGTTTTGCAGCTTACGAATCCAAAGTCTATGCTGCAAAATAATGTGTGTGTTGTCAGGTGTGATGTTGACGTGGTACTTTGCGCTGTTGTGTTTACCACTTTGTATTGTTGTGGTAAACTGGGTCACACTCATATACATGGCGTGTTTTATCGCACTGAAAGTGAAGTGACTATTTGTCCCTCAGAAGCGTCTGCGAGTGCGTCTGTCCAGCAGATTCTGCTCCGGTGAAGAGAGACGGAGGCAGTGCCGCAGTGACCCAGAAGAGGACGCTAGTGTCCCGCCACAGACGCACGCGCTCCACCCAACGGTGAGCCAGCAGAACATGCCCATCGGAAACACACTCTGCCTGTCAATCATTCTGGGTGGCATATTATATTCTGCTATATATTATATCCCTGTTGATCTGCAGGCCGTTGAGAGGTTCAGTCAGCTGAGGACACGACGGGACGCCCCGCCCAAACACGTCACTCAGGATGACGTCGCTGACCTCACACTCATTGGGGACTTCAGTAAGGTCGGTTCTGCGAAACCGAAATTATATTTTAGAGTGATGACGAGGGGGTTCAGTAAGATTGTTTTTAAGAAATTCATTATTTAATTCAGCTAGAGCACATTAAATTGGTCTAAAGTTGCAGTGAAGACATTAACAATATTATAAGATTTCTGTATTAAATAAATAAAGAAAAATGAAGAAATACAATTTAAAGAAAATTAGTGGTTTACACAAAATAATCAGAAATTGTTTTTGAGCATAAAATAATCATATATTAGAGTGATTTCTGAAGGATCATGCGACACTGAAGCCTGCAAAATTCAGCTTTGATCACAGGAATAAATTACAGTTTAAAAATATATTCACATAGAAAACACTTATTTTAATTTGCATTAATATTTCACAATAATCCTGTTTTTACTATATTTTTGATCATATAAATGCAGCCTTGGTGAACAAAAGAGACAAAAACATTAAAAATCATAGAGATTTCATACTTTTTAACACCAGTAAGTTATTGATTACTAATTGTCTTCAATGGGTCAATATTTAGAATTTTTAGAGTGACTCATTCCCAGTCAGTCGTGTCTTGTGTCTTGACGCAATTATTTCCATAGCAACACCTGCTTCCTGTTGAGAGAGCCGGCCATCGGGAGCTTCACTGTGTCAGCGCACAAACCGTAAGACATCATGACTGTTCTCTAAGCTAGGGTGGATAACATATTCCCATATTAATCCAGTTTCATATTAATTATTTTTCTTACTGAAATATAAGTTCCATGGGTTTATTTTATTGATGTACGAGATGTAAAGGTGAAAGTCTGCTGCTGACCTGTAGGTGGCGTCTCTGATCAGAGGTCAGTTTGGTCCTGCAGTGGAGGACTTCCTCATCGTCGACTGTCGTTACCCCTACGAGTACCAAGGAGGACACATTAAGGTACCTTAAAATATTGAGTTTTTGCCAAAATGTTTGTGCCGACAGATCTTCCTATCGTGACCTTTCGCCGTGTGCAAAGCGTTTTTAACCTGCGGAAAACGCCTATCTGTTCTGAGAGCGTTTTGGCAGCGTAGCGTTTTTTTCTTTCAGTTGAGACGCGTTGCTTGCTATGATAAGGAATATCCGCAGAAGTGTTATAGTATCTCCTTTAACAGATAATTTGTTTCTGCATTGTTTCTATATACAAATATCGATACTATGCAAAGTATTTGCTCTTGCTCTTCTTTTAAATTATTTTGTTTCTGTTATTATGCTTGTTGTTTTCATCTGTTGACGTTGTACAAGCAGAATGTGACGGTTGGTCGGTGTGGTATTAGTCCCGCCTCTTCTCCACTGTGATTGGACAGCTGGGTAAAAAGTGACAATGATGAGCACTGCGTTTTACCCAAAGTTGAACAAGCTTCAACTCTCGGCGACTGGTAAAAAAATGGCTCATTACGCTCTTGGCGATTTAAAAATAAAATCCTGGCGATTTTTTTATAATTATTTTCAATGCGATCGCTGCATTTTTTTAACGCCATGAGCGTAATGAGGCGCTGAACTTTTTTTTCGCGCTGAGCGCTCGCCGTTTTCTACTTTCTCGTTTAAGAATGTTCAACTTTGGGTAAAACGATTTGCTCATCACTGTACCCTACCGTCCAATCACTGTGGAGGAGGGGCGGGGCTAAAACCACACCAACCAACTGCCACAACATTCTTTCTGTACAACGACAACAACCAGCAGAGCTAACCGAACAAAATGGATGAAAAATAAATTTAGTATGAAACAAATTATCTGCGAAATTAGTTACAAGTAAACTGTGCTGCGTATATTCTTTATCATAGCAACGTAACGTCTCAACTGAAAAAACGCTGTGCTTTCCGTTGGACCTACACCGTATCCTCTACAGTTACGCGCTGGTTTCCATTTATACTTCTCCGTCATTGTCCGAGTTGACGCGCAATTACACATGCATGGGAGCAAGTGAAACCCAAAGGAGGGGTTCTAGCAGACCAATCACAGTCAGCGCTTGTGGTCTGTGTAGAATTGACGCGTTGTTACATTTTTGGAGAGGTGCACGTCAGAGTACGCCGTAGGGTACGCGCGCTACACACAGCCTACAACGTAGCTACGCCGTGAGTTTGACACGGAAGTATGAATTGGGCTTTACTCCCACAGGGCGCTGTGAACCTGTACACGGAGTCTCAGATCCAGCAGGCGGTTCATCAGGATCATCCGTCCGACTCATTCCCAGAGAACCAGGGGTCATCATCGCCACGGAAACTCATAGTGTTTCACTGCGAGTTCTCATCAGAACGAGGACCACATCTGTGAGAAACACACACTACACACACACACACTCACTAAGTGTGTTCATGATTACTCAAGCTTCTTACCCGTTCGACAGGTGTCAGTATCTGAGGAGGCTGGACAGGTGTGTTAATGCCCAGGTGTATCCGAACCTGCTCTATCCTGAGCTCTACCTGCTGCTGGGGGGTTACAAACACTTCCACGCCTCCTATCCGGTACAGTACAACAACACAATGCCTCACTGTCTAAAGTGCACTCACATTAGCCAAATATAAGGTGCTTGGGGGTTCGAGGAAAAGTTTAGAGATTAATCAGAACAGAATAGACCAATCACAACAGACTGGGCCATCTGACCAATCAGAGCAGAGTAGACCAATCACAACGGATTGCTTGTGTATTATATAATTAGAAAAGTTAAGTGTTTTGACCTTGGTTGCATGTAAAGCTACTATAGGAGCCTCCACACAGTATGCGCACATGACAGTCCCGGTGTCTCTCTGTCTCAGGATCTGTGTGAGCCCTGCGGTTACGTGCCGATGCGTCAGCGCGAGTACCGGGAGCAGCTTCACGGATTCCGCAGGAGAAGACCTACACGGCAGCGAAGACGACGGCCAAACAGAATACATCAAAGAACGACACGCTAAATGTTATATTATATATTTATTTGTATGATCTTTCATGTACATCTGTCAAGTCAACTATACTGTAGGCCACTTAATAAAGTATTTCAAACACTCACTGACTGCGGTTTATTTATGTTTTTTTTTAATGATGAAACAATAGGAAAAGGATGTGTATCACTTATCTTTCAGGATCATATTAATAATACCGGTATTCATTAGATTTTCTTTGCCAATACAATAATAATAAAAGAAGTGCTAGATCTGTGGAAAAGTTTAGAGAAAGACAATGTAAAAATAAATAAATAATACAAATATGATTAAACAAAAGAGATAAATCAATTAAATAAATAGTTGATTTAAAGTTGTAGTCAACAGCACCGTTATAGTTAGTAGAAAAATGTGATAATTGAACATAATAGAAATTTTTCAAATCATATTTTACGCATGTTTATTTTTCATCGTAGGTTTATACATGAAACTATAGACTTTTTATTGATGGGAGTCACTCATGAGGATAATTATATCTTAAACTGAAAGTCCCTGCACTAAAGCAATTTAAAAAAATCATATAAAATATATAACGTGAAAATACATTTAATTTGATGTATAGAGCTTCCACGATCAGATCAATAATAATGTAGCCTATAATAATTATTTATTTTATTTCGCTTCCACAGAGTCATAAAACTATTTTTATTTTTTACAAAGATGTGTATTACATCCAATAACAATAAACAATCCAGAATTATGATGATGATAATCACGCTCAAGGTAGCGTAGTGACGTGCGTGTACGCGCATGCTCTTCCCCTGATAGGTCGCGCGCATCAGGAAGCGTTTCTCACTATCCCAAGCGACGACCTCCAAAAGCACCGGTGCGATATTAACGTAACCGCTCACCGTGCCAGCATCTCTCATCCGTGTCCCGGGGCCGTGTCTCAGATACTTGCGAACATTCCCGCTGCGTTTGAGAGCGTTTGCCCACAGACCCCGCGATATGGCCGCGTACAAGCTGGTGCTGATCCGCCACGGCGAGAGTTGCTGGAACCAGGAGAACCGATTCTGCGGCTGGTTCGATGCCGACCTGAGCGAAACCGGAGAGGAGGAGGCCAGGAGGGGCGGACAGGCCCTGAAAGGTGATCTGGTGTCCGTGTATTAAACTGATCTTCTTATGTTTATCTGTTTATCCGCACTGCGTTCGTGCAGGGCCCTGTAGAGATCACATGGCCCGCAGAGATGATGCACCTCCTCTCTCATAATCTATTATTACCGTTAAATTAATGCACGATTAACTAAGCTTCCTAATTTCGTCTTTGACAACTGTAAGTTAGTTTATATGTCGCATATATCTTTTTGTTGTCGAAGCGTTGCTTGGTGGTTGCGAGGATGTTGCAGTAACGTTAGTGCTTGCTTATTGGCCCAATTCAAAATATTTCGTTATGAAGTCGTTATGATTATAGTTCACCCTAAAAATAAAATTCTGTCATTAATTAACGTTACTATGTCGTTACAAACCCGCAAGGCTCTTGTTCATCTTAAAGAAGTAGTTCACTTTTGAAAAAACTTTTGCTGATAATTTACTCACCCCCATGTCATCCAAGATGTCCATGTCTTTCTTTCTTCAGTCGACAAGAAATTAAGGGTTTTTAATGAAAACATTCCAGCATTTTTCTCCAAATAATGGACTTAATTGGAAACCAAACGGTTCAAGATCCAAAAGATCGTTTCAGTGCAGCTTCAAAGGGCTTTAAACGATTTCAGACGATGAATAAGGGTCTTATCAAGTGAAACGATTGCTCATAAAAAAATAAATAAAAAAAGTTTGAAGTTTTATAAGCTCACATGCTCGCCTTGCTCTGTTCTGTGACGCTCGTTTGTGACTCTCCTGTTCGAACTCGTTCATAAAACTCGTTAAAAAACAAATCTTTTTCCGAGTCATTTGGTTCATTCAACGAATGAAACGAACGAATTGACTCGGAAAAAGATTTGAAAGAAAGATGTGGATATCTTGGATGAAATGGGGGTGAGTAAATTATCAGCAAAAGTTTTTTTTTTTTTTTTTTTTTTTTTTAGAACACAAATGAAGATAATTTTATGAAATCTGAGATTTCTGTCCACTGACACTTAAAGTTTATAAAGAGATCAAGTTAAAACTAATCCATATGAATCAAGCGGATGAACCTCATTGGTTCTGGCAGAAGCTCAAACATAACACGAGATGTTGCTGCGTAACACGAGAATGAACCTCATTGGTTCTCACATGTTTTCCAATATAAACTAAATTATCAATATGGAGATTTAATTTCAGAATAAATTTTTTAATGCCATTATTTCCTCATCTGTATCTGATACACAACCTGACTAACATCAACGCCACCTTCCAGATGCGGGTTACGAGTTTGACGTCTGCTACACGTCCGTGCTGAAGCGAGCGATCCGCACGCTGTGGCTGGTGCTGGACAGCATCGATCAGATGTGGCTGCCGGTGAACCGCACCTGGCGTCTGAACGAGCGCCACTACGGCGGCCTGACGGGCCTCAACAAGGCCGAGACGGCGGCCAAACACGGCGAGGCGCAGGTGAAGATCTGGAGGCGCTCCTTCGACACCCCGCCGCCACCCATGGACCCCGACCACGACTTCTACACCACCATCAGCAAGGTGAGAACGTGTTGCACAATGTCAGGAAAAATCCTGAAAGAAAGTGTATTACGTTTTACACAAAAATGTGCTAATAATCATAAATGTTTTTTGAGCATCAAATCTTCATATTAGAGTGATTCATGAAGGATCATGTGACTCTGAAGACTGGAGTAATGCTGAAAACTCAGCTTTGATGAATATTTTAAAATATATATTTACCTAGTAAAGTTATTTCACAATATTACTGTTTTTACTGTATGTTTGGTCACGTAAACGCAATGTTGGTGCGAGTATAGCGGCTCTGAGTGTCATGTGTCTGCAGGACCGGCGCTACGGGGACCTGACGGAGGACCAGCTGCCCTCGTGCGAGAGCCTGAAGGACACTATCGCCCGAGCTCTGCCCTTCTGGAACGAGGAAATCGTTCCTCAAATCAAGGAGGGCAAGAGGGTTCTCATCGCTGCCCACGGAAACAGCCTGCGAGGCATCGTCAAACACCTGGAGGGTGAGAAACCGTCTTGGATACACTCATATTTACACCACACAGTTGTGTATACACCCTAAAAACACCCTGAACAAGCCCAAGAGGAGTCTGATGCATACGGCTGTTTAAAATCTCTCTTTTCTTCCCCATTTCCCCCTCAATAAGACAGTCAAATGCATTGCTCCTGAATGAATTAGACGTTTGAATGAAAACTCATTTACAGTGACTTGCTGCCACCTACTGGTGGTTTTAATTTCACATTTAAAGGGATAGTTCACTTTAAAATTATTTTTTGATATGTTTTAGCTTACCTCAAGGGCATCCGAGATGTAGGTGTTTCCGCAGTATTTTCAATTTTGATATTTTTAGCTCAAACTGTTCTTGTCTGTCAGTCATATAATGGAGGTCTATGGTCACCACCTCAAAGAGCAGCACAGAGAAGTCCAAATTAAACATGATTGAATGACTCGTAAATGTAAGTACACATTGATGGCCTAAGACACGAAACGAGCGGTTTGTGTGAGAAAACGAACAGTATTTATATCGTTTTACCTCTTGTAATCACAGCCACTTGTAATCCATTTTACTCTGCACTTCGTTCTGCGCATAAGGTAGAGGGTATTAGCTTCTGACGTAAACTAAAACATACCAAAAATTAATTTCAAAGTGAACTAGCCCTTTAAAGTATTTTTTTTAATATAATTTAAAATATCAATATTCAAAGTTTTATGTTTAAAACATCAAAACAGAACAGTCGGTGTAAAGGCGTCTAAATGTCACTTCAGATGTTTACTCTGCAGTGCAAAGATTAATTTTGTTGAAACTGATTTTCACTTGATTGGTAACTATCGTGCCTTATTATTATAATTTAATTCATTGATTAAATGTTTAACATTTAATTAGGTGAAAAGGCCTTCATAAAGGTAAAAATTGCCATGAAAGGTCAAAATCTCTCAGCAAAATATCTAATTATATTAAATTTTGTCCTAATGTTTCTTCAATGTAAACTTTAATTGAACATTCTTCAACTCTCGGCAACTAGTAAAAAACGTCCAGTGCCTCGTCACACTGCTGGCGTTTTAAAAACATGCGCGCTCCCATTGAAAACAATTAAAAAATACGTTAGGTTTGGGGAAACGTGCTTTGTTGGACACACACGCTGCATACAAGAGCAACCTCCAGTGTTATCTATCTACATCTCTTTGCTTCTGATGTGTTTCAGGAATGTCAGAGGAGGCGATTATGGAGCTGAACCTTCCCACAGGAATCCCCATCCTATACGAGCTGGACAAGAACCTGAAGCCCGTGAAGCCCATGCAGTTCCTGGGAGACGAGGAGACCGTCCGCAAAGCCATGGAGGCCGTCGCCGCTCAGGGCAAAGCCAAGAAGTAGGCCGAGACGTCCCGTGTTTAAGCTCTAATCCCCCACAATCAGTGTTTTAACCGTGAGCCTACCTAGAACCAAACCAGTGACCAATCATTTCTTTCCTAATGCTCTCAATCGGGACCATGCTAATAAAGTTACTGCTTGAATGTGTGTATGTGCAGTGAAACTGAGCCACAGTGTGTTTATAGTCTCTGCACTGAAAATCCACGGCCGCACATTTCAGAAGATGGCACGTTTGTGTGTCCGCGATGGCATCGCTTTAACTACTGTTGCCAGGCGACGGCATATATTAATGGTTGGGTGGGCTGCAGAAGTGCTGCGTTCTCCCATCTTCCTGTGATTCATGCATTGTCCCGCTGCTCTAGATCTCTGCTCGCCCACAGACACGCTCCTGAAATACCCAACACGAGAAGAAACACGGTTCATTTTTAGGATTCTCCTACATCTAGAGATTCACTGCAGATTATTTTCCTGTGGGCTTTTTTGGGGGATGTTTATGGTCAATTTTCTCTCACTGTTTATATGGTAAATGCTGCTGATGTGTGATGTTCATGTTAAGTTTAATTCATTTCGGCCCTGCAAATATTCACCATAGCGTAAATATTATTGAACATTGTGGCCCAGAAAAGAAATGCTCATGTTGTCTGTTCCTTTTCACTTGTACAACAAATGTTGAGATTATTTTGCTTGACTGAAATGTATGTACAATAGTGTGAGTTGATGTGCAATCCCTAATAAATGTTGGCTTACTGAACCAGAAATAATGCTGTTACAATATTTTTTTTGTGTGTAATCTAATCCCTTAAATGTTCATTGTGGCGATGTAGAGATGATTGGAAATCGTTTTTTTATTACAACTGTTCTGGTTTGAGTGCATGTTGCCATTTTTGACATGACGTCGAATTATTAGGAAATATACTTTTTCAATGTATAATTAGTTACATTTTCAAGTTACAGAGTTAGTTATTTTGTTTACACTTAATACTAGTAGAAACGTGCATTTACGGCCACAACAAATATGGAGGTTTTCTTGAACCGCACATGATGAAGTAGCCAATCAGAGCGCAAGTTGCCCACTGACTAACAGCCAATCAAAACGCGACTCTCGCTTCTTGAAAACATGTCGCCCATGAAGCGAGTAACCCCAGAGTGCACTCTGGACGATGGGGTGGGGCGACACTTTTGGGTGGAGCGACACGTGTCGCCCCGCCCCTATTTTCCTGTTCCCGCCTTTGCCATTTTCCTCCGACCCCCTAGGGGGCAGTTTGCGATAAAAGGCAACGGTGGCAGCATTAACGAACGAACGACACTCCACGTTGATTGCGATTCCAAATGGTGAGTAAAAATGGTTGTGTAGTTTTATATAAACATATTTAAAAATGTACCATGATGTTCGTGAATCAAATCTGGAATAGTTTCCTTCTGAAAGAATGTCATGAATAAAGAATCTTGAAGAACTTTGAGAGCTCTGTTATACAATAGCAATATGTTTAGTTTTTTTTTTTTTAAAGCTATGTTTATTTATGTTAATTATGTTTGTTTTAAATCGAGAGCAATAAATTACTTTATTGTTAAAGTTTGAATGAATTAATAATTTCTCATTTTTTTATGAATAATTGTTGATTGTGTAGTGGGTCTGAGCGTACAGCACGAGCAAGCACCTGCAGCTCGGTAGCACAGAGGTTTGGAGCTGAATCCTGCATTAGAGAGAGCCCTGCATTGAAAGTGGAGATGTTTTGTCATACAGCAAAATGACAAGATCCCACATCGACAACTTCCGCTTCTTCAAACAGAGGTTTGACTTCTTGACAAAAACAGAGTATCACATATTTGTTTGGCATAATCCTCTCCATGTAGAGTAATCTGTTCTATCTGGTAATATCTTTATTGCTTTATAAGGATCTCTTCCAAACACGAAGACCAAAAACCAAATGGATAATAGGAACAAGCCAGCAGTTACACCTGAATCTGAACTTAAGTGTGGAAATGTCAAGAGTTCTACAGGTAACCGACTTGTAAACTTGTACCTCTTAGGGTTGCAGTGGTATGAGATTTTCACAGTACAAAAGCAGTTTCAGAAATTATCGTGGTTTAATGGTATATGGTCCTGCTCAATCAAATGTGAGTCATTTTTAAATATATTATATTTTTAAAAATATTTTGCCATTGCATCATTTTTTACTCCTACTCCAATAACAATAAATATTATTACTTAATTATTTCTATAAGTCCTTTTACTTTAGTACAGCTTTTGGATATTCTGCCCACCTCTGCTGTCACACCGCATAGCCTTGATTTTCAAAACTGCATTTACTGTTTGAATTGTGTGATAAAAGTAACATAATTTGAGACTTTTTGCTTTATTTTTGACTAGATACAAAGCTCATCACAGTTTACATCCGTAAACTGTGGATGGAAAGGATGCAATAAATAGTGTTTAGTTGGGCAACTACTGAAAATAGCATAGGCTAAAAAATTGATCTCGGGATTTAAGATTTGATATAGAGCAATAGTACAGTACTGTAAATAATCAAATGTGTGAGATATAACTCTTTTAAGCATGAAACTGTCATACTGCTGCAACCCTAATATAATATACTGTATAAAAGTTAGTATGCATAGTGATCTTAAAACATTAGTCACATTAAAGTGCAGTAGTAAAGACTGAACTTTAAACATGTTGTTACATACTGATGGTAGGTTAAATTTTAATTGTTATTGTAGTTAATTATTGTAAGTTATACCCTGCTCATTTTCTTGCACTTTGTGAATTGTAACAGTACACTCTATACATGGCTTTGGGGCTCCGATTTGATTTTACAGAGTTATGTCATTACCTCATTACATATTTCACGTTAAATAAACAGACATGCATAATTGTTTATTATTATTATTTTAAAAAATTCAGGATGACATGCCCCTGATCAGGAGGTGGTGGTGTGCTCTCATACTGGACAACTTCACTCTGCAAATGCATGTAGCTGTTTGCATGTTCCTACATTAAACATTAGTTTATGTACTACATCTACCAATATACATGCCTACCTCTTGTCATTTGTTTTTCTTAGCACTCAACCTTACAAAAGGCAATGTCTTCGGGGAGATTCAGACAGAGAGATTCAGGTAATTTATTGTGCACATACATTCATTAAGCAATTTCTTTGAATAGTGTTCTGGTAAAACTTCCATTTGTTGGTGAAACAATGGAGTTATTTGTCATTGTTCAAGACAGGCATGTTAAGGGAGGGCTTTAGTGAAGCGCTGCAGAGCTTCTCTCCTAACGGTGGAAACACAGTGTGATTTTGTGCTCGGTGATACAGGTCCAAGGCTATTAACACCGCCCGACCCTTGAAAGCCCTGGCCCACACTGGCCTGACAGTGGGGAAAGCGGCTAATGTGTGTTGGAGCGATATTATTTTAATATTATCGTTATAAGAGAATATGTATCTCTTTATTTATTATTTTATTCAGAGCATGCAGTTTTGACAACAATATATCAGGTTTGTCTGAACCAAGGTTTATATTTTTTTCAACAACATTTATATACAAGTATAAATAACAATGTTTTTTGTTTCAACAGCTTCCCCATGAAATAATAGCAACTGGTGATTCTGCATATTTGACGCTTTCACTGGTATGCAGATGGTTTAGGGATGTGGTCACAAATGAAATTTTCCAGAAAGCAGCACACTTTGCCTGGCTAGACTGTAAGATGTTTTTTTCTGTTCAATGTACATTTCTTGGATTGAAATGTGTGGTATGTGACATTTAAACTTGAATCTCCACACTTATATCTTTTCTGTATTTTGTCTTTACATTTTAAGGTGTGGTCAACTGGAAAAAAAATTCTCCGGACTACTGTGATGAGTTTCGCCGGATCTACAGCTTCAGGGAATGCTTGGAGCTTTTTTTAAGTCCTATCCACCAGGGTACAGGGGAAGAGGAAGACTAGGGGAACTGCTGGGCTTTTACTGCGAAGATCTTTGTACAGGATTTTGCTCGCAGGACTGTTTTTTTGCTGCAGGAAATGAATTTCTGTAAAACTCAAAACTTGTAGATGGGAATTGAGAGATGAACTGGTTTTGATGTAGTAATTGATGCAACTAAAAGGTAAACTTAAAGGTCAAACTTGAAAAATTAGAATATTGTGCAAAAGTTCATGTTCAGTAATTCAAATTAAAAAGTGAAACTAATATATTTAGTATAAATAACTATATGCATATGGCATGATTATATATAATTTTCAGAGGGCTTACATTTTTGTAATATTCTGATTTTGTGAGATTTTGAATTTGATGTTCATCAAAATTATAACTTTTGCACGATATTAAAATTTTTTGAGTTTCACCTGTATAGTGTTCTATTGAAAAGCTATGGCAAAAACATAGGTTTCACTAATTGTGCATATGGTAAAGTACCTTGGTTCTTTAAGGTTTGCATAAATTACATTCTGCTGATGTATAAGTGCAGTTTGGAGTCTATAATAAAGAAAAAGTGACAAAGTCTTTGTTTTGTTGTGTTCTTAAGAGCATGTATAGAAACTCCCTTATAGGTTTATTATAGTACAACCATTATTAATTACATTTATGTAAACGCACAAATACTATAATTAATTACCATAGTTAATTTGTGATTACCATGGCTTTTTGGAGCTATGATCAGTGAAGTTTAACAGCCGTAAATGTAGTTTAAAAAAAAATGTTCGTAGGATTACGGAAACTCGTGGTTACTATCAGGTGAGACTGTTGACATGTCCGCTATAGTTTGCTCTCTCTCTCTCTCTCTCTCTCTCGCTATCTATCTATAGATAGAGAGCGAGATGTCATTAACTTACAAAAAAACAGTGAGTAATACAGAGGTAACGGACCATCTAACTTACTACAGCTGTTGAGGGAGTGATTGTGAATTAGACCATTATTTCTATTCTCTTTGTATTTCTACTTCAATGGAATAATGTGGAATCGTATTAATGTCCGCCAAATCAACAAGTTTATTCGTCTGTTGTGTTCTTCCGCATTCCCAGCCGGCCCGAAGCGTCACACTTCTCTGCACCAATAATCTGTAATAGCGTCACACTTCTCTGCACCAATAAGATCATCTTTATTATAAACCAATAAACGTTAAGGTGGGCGGGGCGACACGTGTCGCTCCGCCCAAAAGTGTCGCCCCGCCCCATCGTCCAGAGTGCACTCTGGGGTACTACCATGAAGCTGTGTGTTCCAGGTAGGTCGCTGTTTTATTCATGCTATTTGCACTTTCTTTTGGTTTTATCGACAGAATCGCTGCAAGTCTTGGCTCTAGGCGTGTACAAATAATGACATTTTGTGAAATTTGGTGTGGTTGGTAAAAGTTAAGGACAGTTACTCTCTCACGTGCGTTTCTGTAGGGCTGAATCATCCGCACGCGCAGCACTGTGATGACGTTATAAACGCATAAGTATGTTCAGCTTCAGTCAAAATATGGCAGAAACGGCTAATGTTGGTTTAACTGTATTTCGGCCATACTGTATAACTTAGTTGATCTGACGTAAATAAGTGTGTCTCTGGTGGTGTTTTCTGGGTTTAAAGACTCGTTTAGCGAGCCCTGCCCACCCCCGCCCGGGGCGCGAGCGCTGCTGTCACACACACCTGATTTGAAACACACACATATGTGCCTCTACACCAGGGGTCACCAAACTTTTTTCTCTGGGGGCCACATTATTGTTCCTGACTGTGATGGGGGGCCGGGCTATATAAAATAGAATTGTGTGACCAAGACCAAACTGACCACCAGCAGGCCTCATAGTAGAGATTACTAGCCTGGCACAGCCATATTTGTTTATCATTAATAGTTGTTTGCAAAAGTAGTAATCGAGTCTTCACACTTTGTTTTAATTTGAAATACCACAGATTTTCCATTTATTTATTTTCGAATACAAATAACATCAAACCTGTCAAGGTAAGAAACATCTGCCTAGTTGAGGTGAGTGGCACTGGTAAGGATGAATGAAAAATTATAAATTATAGGTAGGCCTGTTACTATTTATAATAATTGTGTACAGCACTTAATAAAGGTCAAATAAATAGGCCTATAAAATAAATAAATAAACATTGAAATTATAACAACAACATGAGTAATAGAACTAGTCAGCTCTTATGCCTATCCAGGTGAGCATGCTCAATAAACAACAAAATACCAAATGCAGACATGTTATTATTTTCCAAAAAGCAATTTAAAAAAATAGGCCATGACGACTTTTGGGGATTGCCGGTTCAAGTAGTGGGGGGCAGAGGGGTTGGGGGGCCAGTCAAAGGGGTGTGGCGGGCCTGATTCGGCCCGCGGGCCTTAGTTTGGTGACCCATGCTCTACACGAACGACGCTGGTTGCTTAAATCACTTGAATTCCACAAAAAGCTAATTTGCCTCAAGTCCAAGAGATCTCATTTAAAGTCCCCCTGTAGTCAATAATTATATCTCTTCAAACTCACCTTTGATCACCAAAATGACATTTAAACGTGTATTATTGAAAAAAAAAAAAGCCTTAAACTATTTGAAATGTAACTACACCCATGTCTCATTTCTGCAAATCACAAATGAGCCCCGCCTCCACGCACTCACACCATCTGTTTGGTTACAAGTTAGTTTTATGACACTAGTGATTTTAAACTGCGAGACTGTCTGTTTTAAGGAGAAAATACTCAGCAATGGTGTTGACATGAATTTGGTTTGTCACAAGGGGGACTTTAAATAAATGTTTTATGTATTGCCTTAGTGACAGAAAATAATTTAGGCTCCTCCTTCAGTTTTGGAAAAAGTAATGTATTCTCTAACTGTAGAAGTAAAATTGTCAATCACCAGGAAGCGTTTTGAAGTAGAAAAGCTTTTTGTTAACACTATTCTCCTGTTTTTTAATTTAACGTAGCAGAACTACTTCTTTTAGCAGACGAACAGTTATAATTAATATATAAAACATAGTAATAATTGAAAAATATTAGGTACTTTCCTGTTATCCGGACCCCACCATATACCATTTCGGAATTATAGTCGTCCCTGATTGGTCTTAACCCCAGTGACGAGTAGGTTTGGGGGCGTGGTTAGGGGTAGGCCATCGTCCCTGATTGGTCTTAACCCCAGTGACGGGTAGGTTTAGGGGCGGGGTTAGGGGTAGGCCATGGGTCCGGATAACAGGAAAGTACCAAATATTATATTACAATATATAAAAACAGCATTTTACAGTTAAAAAGTTAATTTATGGTATCCTTGCGCATATTGTGTGAAATTACGCTGTGTGATCATAATGACGGGGTGAAATATCGGATTACGTTTTCACAGATAAGGGAACAGATTCTATCATACTAGACCCATTTTTACATGTAAGATGTTAAGGGTAACTAAACCCCTGGTCAGAGCCTGACTCCACCCACTGGCAATATTTGAAAATGCTGAAAAAGTGGGCAGACCCCAACGGAGATAGAGGGGACGAAATAGATGCTAAAACACTCTATCCTGATCGTTTTCAATACTCACAATTCCAATTCCTGACTCCCTACAGTGGTTTTGACGACACAAGATGGTTTTTATTTTGCCAAGGGCATAGCTCGCGTGGTGAGCTGAAAGCTGCGTACGTCACGAAGAACCGCTAAAATCCAATAGGAAAATTCAACTGCAGTAGCCACCGTTCAACCTGAAGAGGGCAGCACTAAGACGCTTTTACACCATATATTGTAGAAATAGAACACTTTATAAACAAATGTCAAAAAAGTTACTCGAATCAATGATTGGTATTAATAAAGATCCATTCTTACAGATCATTAACTAAAAAAGTTGGTTAAGTGTTTAGTTACTCTTTAAAGTCGGAATGAAACTGAGGTTGTTCGTCTTTTCCTCCCTATGTCATATATCCAAGTGAAACGACTTCCCGAACAAGAACAAATGTAGGGCGGGGCATAATTTTGTCTATTGGGAATTGATTGAATGGTTGTGGTTTGCTATTGGTCGATCTCATGTGAGTAATAGGTTGCCCCGCCCTCGTGTCGTTAAACACATCATCAGGGATGCGATTCTGCAAGAGAAAGTTATTTTGATTGAAGAATATCTATGAATTTTAAAACTAATGTTGTGCACAGTTTTTCATGTTTATCTTTGACTTTTATCGTAAGCGCATTCCTGATGATGACGCGAGTTTGATGTGTGGTTTGCGCAGGTGAAAGGCTCTGCAGCACGGAGGACTGTATTCCCGGGACCGGCACGGATCCGCGGCACGGATACATCTTCGCTACGCTCGCGGGATACGTGTTGAGAAAGAACGAGGGCGAGGAGGTCAGTTCACCTTCGTGAAACTGAAACGTTCCTACTTCTTGCTAATGTAACCGTGAGCGCTTGTTTTCCAGCTCCCGGTGATTTCAGTCGTCAGGGAGACAGAAGCACAACTCTTGCCTGACGTCGGTGCCATCGTCACCTGCAAGGTGAGTGTCCTGTACAAAACATGACATCACTGGTGCTCGTTAAAATGAAAACGCTATGATTAATTTACTTCATGCCGTTCCAAACCGATACGACTTTCTTTCCTCTGCTGAAACACAAACTATATTTTGATGATTGTTGATAACTTAACTAGTTTTGGACCCCATTGACTTTCATTGTATGGATAAAATGTGGGCAAAATAGTTTTGATTTATTTTTTTTAAATACAGAGCGGTACAAGACTTGGCTACTTTTCCTAAGTTTGCCTCCTGAACACACACAATTCTTTTGACTCAATTCTACAATGTTAAGTGGGGGAAAAAAAAAAACTCCTTAATCTTGTATTTGGGTCAAAAATGGGCACCCATAGAAATGAATGGGAAAAACTGTAATTTACAGCATTCTAAAATAAGCCAAAATAAGACACCAAGTGACAGCAAAGTCACTTCATCTTTAGGTTTTAGCTTTAAGAACTTATTGGAATGATATTTTAATGTAGTTAAAAAAATATACAAAATAAAACATAAAAATAAGCATAATTTACATAGAAAATATGGTACTTTTTTAAGTAAATAAATTCAAAAATACCCCCAAAATAAAAAAAAAACATCATAAATGGATAGACAAAACTTTATCGAAGACAGAGATATAACATTTACTTATAACCCTGAGTCCTTTGTGCCCACATTTGTCCACAATTACAGGATTAAGGGCTATAAAGTGAATACGGTTTGAGGGCTACAATATCATCTTTTTTGTGTTCAACAGAAGAGAGAAATGGACTTAGATTTGGTGTTTTTATTCAAAACAAAGCGGTTAAATTTTTGTGCGGTAGTATTTAGATTTTAGGTCGGTTTTATGTACAAAAATGTAGATTTGTAACATTTTCTCTGAGTTTATATTTTTATTGATTTGTCTTTGAATGTATTCTGCTTGATTTTATCATGGGTGTGTTTAAAAATGAACTTTGCTGTTTATTATTTGAGGTTTAATAAAGGTTAAAAACAAAAATACCGGTCTGAAATTCTTAGTTTCTTTGTCATTTACTCCATGTTTTGTTAAAATGAACATCGGACGTGTGATTGCCACTCTTTGCAGGTGACGAGTATCAACCCACGCTTTGCTAAAGTCCACATCTTGTATGTGGGGTCAACGCCGCTAAAAGACCGGTTCAGAGGCACTATCAGGTGTGAACATTTCATTCTTCAATTAACTGTTTAAAGTGTCATTTATATTACCAATAATAGCATAAAAACAAATATTCTATTCATTTTTGATTTCACCAGAAGAGAAGACGTGAGAGCGACGGAGAAAGATAAGGTGAGTTTGTGTTAAATGATTATTTTCAGTTAGATGTCGTGTCTATTTGCTGAATTGCGGCTCTTGTGTTCAGGTGGAGACGTACAAAAGCTTCAGGCCGGGAGACATTGTCCTTGCAAAAGTGGTATCCTTTATTCTATGTGGAAAAATGAAACTCTAGTACCCTGAATGTTGCTCGTGACCCTTGACCTTGGCGCTCAGATCTCTTTGGGTGACGTGCAGTCGAACTACCTGCTGACCACGGCGGAGAACGAGCTGGGCGTCGTCGTGGCCCACAGCGAGGCGGGTGAGGTTCAACAGTAGTGCGCTTCAACAGAAGAGAGTTCACCCAAAACGGATAATGAGCCCTTGATTTACTCTCGCTCATGCCATCAGAGGTGTATATGACATTCTACTTTCAGACCAACACAGTCGGAGTTACATTAAAAAATGCATTCATTCAAATTGCTGTTTCTGTTTTGAGGTCCGTAATAGTGCATCTGTCCATCATAAATAGGATTGGGTATCGAGAATCGAGTATCGATTGGAACCGAGACTAACTTTTCGTTTTTCCCGGAATCGTTCAAAAGTTAAAATTTCGATTCCTAGTTTCGATATTCGCAGTCCGCCAAGTGGAAGAAGAAACCGCTGAACAACACCAACGAAGAAGCGTCTACCGGAAGTGTTGGCATAACCACACGAGTCGAACATGAGTAACTTACGTCGGCGATCCAAAGTGTGGCTTCACTTTTCTAAAAATAATGAAATCAACAAAAGGAGTATTTTTACAGAAGGAGTATTTCCTTCAGAAAGGATTATTTCCTTCAGAAAGGCCGTTGGTTAGCAAGGTTAGCTAAACTTTTTTGAGCCTGCCTCTTAAAAGAATCGGAATCGAGAATCGTTAGGAACCGGAATCGAAACAAGGAATCAGAATCGGAATCAGAATCGTTCAAATTCAAACGATACCCAACCCTAATCATAAACGAACTCAACACGGCTCTAGGGGGTTAATAAAGGCCTTCTGAAGCGAAGCCATGCGTTTCTGGATGATAAATAACTAATTTAACACATTACAGAGTGGAGATTATCATGGATAGATCCACTTTTATCATGGATAGATCCACTTTTATGGATAGATGCACTTTTATCATGGATTGATGCACTTTTATGATGGATAGATGCACTTTTATCATGGATAGATGAAGTTTTATCATGGATAGATGCACTTTTATCTTGGATAGATGCACTTTTTTCTTGGACAGATGCACTTTTATGATGGATAGATGCACTTTTATCATGGATAGATGCACTTTTATCATGGATAGATGCACTTTTATCATGGATAGATGAACTTTTATCATGGATAGATGCACTTTTATCTTGGACAGATGCACTTTTATCATGGATAGATGCACTTTTATCATGGATAGATGAACTTTTATCTTGGATAGATGCACTTTTATCATGGATAGATGAACTTTTATCTTGGATAGATGCACTTTTATCTTGGACAGATGCACTTTTATCTTGGACAGATGCACTTTTATCTTGGACAGATGCACTTTTATCTTGGACAGATGCACTTTTATCTTGGACAGATGCACTTTTATCATGGATAGATGCACTTTTATCTTGGACAGATGCACTTTTATCTTGGACAGATGCACTTTTATCTTGGACAGATGCACTTTTATCTTCGATAGATGCACTTTTATCTTCGATAGATGCACTTTTATGGACTTTAAAACAGACACGGCCATTATAAAGCTTGAATGAGCCAGGACATTTTTTAATGTAACTCTGATTGTATTCGAAAGTTTTGATAGTCATGTACACCTAGGATGGCTTGAGGGTGAGTTAATCATGGGCTGATTTCTTTATTTTTGGGTGAACTATCCCTTTAAAGAAGTGCTGCCCTCGCTCGTGTCACTCATGCCGTGTGAAATCTCTTCCCGCAGGGGCTCAGATGGTGCCCATCAGCTGGTGTGAGATGCAGTGTCCTCGCACGCACGCCAAAGAGTTTCGCAAGGTCGCGCGGGTACAGCCGGAGTACCTGCAGGCCTAAGCCACGCCCACAGGAACCCTAGACCACACCCACTGGAACACACAGCTTCAAAGACACGCCCCCTTCTCTCACGGAACTCTCGTGTATGTTCGGAATTCTAGGTGTGACTCTCGATGATTTAAATCTCCTGTCACATTCCACACTGCCTGTGAATGCCAAGAACCCGTCGACAGCCGATCACATGACCCTAATCTGAGTGTCCTTGCATTACTAAGCAGTATTCTGGCATTCATGACGCTCTAGGTGCGGCGACACACTTGGATTGTGATATCACATATTCAGATGCTTTTGGAAGCTCTGAAACATGAGCGGGAATGTCATATTATTGAGCTTCTTTAAACATTGAGGAAATTATGAGTGAATCTGAAGTAAACAAAGTTGCTGGGTCACATTTTAAGTGCAAATCAAAAAGAAGAAAAATTATTTTTTTTGCGTAAGGTAAACCAGCAGACGCCTGTTTTTTATTTTTTGTGTTGCAATTTGTTTTATTTTCTTGACAATAAAGCATGTTTAGCTGCAATTTTTCATTACTGTAATGCATCTGAAAGTTTTGCTTTATTTTTGTAATTCATTTAATTCTCAAAAATAATTCTCATTATTGCAAGTACTTTTTACGTCAGCACTGATTGAAGATAGTACAACAAATATTACATTATGTAGACATACTGTATATATAGAGAAAGAGAGACTTCAATTAAATTTTATGGTAATGAGAATTGTGTTATGAAATGTGCTTCAAGAAAATCTCACAATGCAGAAACCTTAATGCAATATATATTTTTTTCCTTTTTAATTGTGGTTAAAATATGACCTTGATGTTCTTGAGAGGTTTTTGTGAGATTCACTCTTTTAGCTTCATGTTTATTAAACCAAATTGCCTAGGATTAAAGGTTAGTGTTGAGTTTATCATTGGCCAAATCTGTTAATCTTTCTGCAGATCTGCAGAGTGAATGCTGACAGAAATCAAGAACATACACTATGGAAGTATGTTCTTTATCTCATCCGGGCCATTTGATTAAAAGTTTGATGAAAAGCAACAGTAGAGAACTGGAACTGCGCTATTGTCACGATCTCAGTCTCTGCAACAGATTTGTCAGTCTTTCACAACGGGATTTGAAGTTTATAGAGCATTAGCATTAGGCAACACTTTTTTCTAACTCTTAAAAACACATGAACCACAGACATAGTCACCCATGGATGAATTTACTTTTATCTCTGGCTGCTTTTATTCAGATTATCTGGAAATGCCTTATCTGATACCTTTTCCTTATTCTGTCCTTTTTAGAGGTCATGTGTTTAAAAAGAAGAAGAAAAATAAAGTTTAACAACATGAGCTCAACTCAATTTTGCCTGAGTGTTTCATTGGTATAAAGACTCGACACGATTATCTTTCAGCTCAAATTGAATCCCAGGATTGCAAGAACTGACAGAAATCAAAAGTTTGGGGTCAGTAAGATTACATTTTCTAAAGAAATGAATAGTTATATTCAGCAAGGATGATTTAACTGGATCAAAAGTGACAGTAAAGACATTTATAATGTTCTTTTGAACTTTCCTTTCATCAAAAAATCCTTTGAAAAAACGTACATCTCCACTTAATATTAATTAGCACAACTGTTTTCAACATTATAATAAATGTTTCTTGAGCAAAAAAGCATCATATTAAAATGATTTGTGAAGGATCATGTGATGCTGAAAAAATTCAACTTTGATCACAAGAATAAATTACATTTAAACATATTCTCATTGATAACAGTTTTTAAATTTGCTATAATATTTCACAATATTACTGATCAAATAAATGCAGCCTTGGTGAGCATAAAATCTTACAGACCCCAAACTTTAAGATCTTGCATAAATACCTTGAATGCAATGCAAGTCAAAACAAGCACCATAACAAACACTGCTTATAATGCAATGCCAATAATGATAACATCACAACCACCATGACAGCTGTAATCCAGTGTCTTTATTCCTGTTGTCCTTCTCTTTTAGTATCATTTTCTTGGGAAAATCCCATGATGAACTCAAATCCAACTCCTGATATCTCACCTGAGTACAACATCTCATAGGACCAAAAAAACTTTGGTCAAATACACCAGTATTTGATAAACCCATGTCGATTTATACATTAAAGGAAGCAGTTCGCCTAGAAATGAACATTCTGTCATCATTTACTCAAAATCCTGTCAAATCCTGTCCTGACAAAATTTCGTAATTCTGACTTTTTCTCAGAACTGCGTGATATAAAGTTGCAATGGCGAGTTATAATGTCAGAATTGCGGGATATAAACTTGCAACTCTGTGTTTTTTCTCAGATTAGTGAGTTAATATCGAACGATTCAGACTAAATCTCACAATTCTGCGAGATATTTTCCACACTTGCGAGATTTAATCAGAACTGTGAGAAATAAAGTCACAAATCTAAAAAAAAAAATATAAACTCAAGTGCGAGATTTAGTGTAATTCTGAAAACATTTGTTGCTCAGAATTGTTCGTTTATATCTCACAATTATAATTAAATCTTGCAATTCTGAGAAAAAAGTAAGAATTGCGAGATGTAAACTCGAAAAAAGTCGGCATTGTGAAATAAAAGTCGCCATTACCTCTGTTATTTTCTATTCCATGGCAGAAACGAGCTTCTATACATTTCAAACATATATATTGTGTACTTATGGACGTGTTTATCTTGTGTTTTTTGTGTTTTATGATTCCTGACACATGGGTCTGAGTAAATACCTTCACTTTCGAAACTCTCCCTCAGTCGTCGAATCGCACGGACTTCCGCGCGTTAGCATCGATCGTAAACGTCTTATTGGACGGCGCTCTGAACCCCAATCCGGCTCCTTTCATTTTGAAGTCCATGTGGTGGCTCTGAGCGCGCTCAAACTGTCCCAGAAGGCCTTGCTGCAAAGTCTGTTGGCCTTCTTTCCCCAGCGCCATGTTGGCCGAGCCGGGGGATCCCGCGACTGGCTGGCTGCTCTTCTTAAAGCCGCCCATCAAGCGCAGGAACTTGTTTTGTCTGTCGGGGCTGTCGAACTGTGCCGTGCCCCACTGGCCCAGAGTCTACAAACAGATCAAAACAATTCACAGTCACATTAGTACTGATGGCAAAGCTGCTTTAGGACTGACGTATATACTGGAAACTGACCGGCTTCGGCTGCGACTCCTTGTCGATGTCCATCTGTAGGGCGAGACGGCGCGCCTGGGGAATAAAACAGTGTTTTAATCACATCTCAACATGAGGGATATCATAATTTATGGTGCTTTAGTGATCTGGTGCTTTACCTGATCTATGGAAACCTCGTCCTGGTTTCCAGGCTTTGCCGACAGGAACACGATATCTCTCTGAGTGCCGGTGGAGAAATGAAATGAATAAATGAAATACAATTTATTGTCCCCAAAGGGGAAATTTGTGTTGGACTCAAGGTGATTACATTGACATTGAAACATTGAAATGCATACATTAAAATCACTAGTATTATAATAAATAACAATTCCTATACACATACATATATATACAAACATATATATATATATATATATATATATATATAGTCGTTTTATTTGAAATTTCAAGTGCATCACATTCATTTGTATAAATGTGTGATGCACTTGTAATTTCAAATAAAACTACTTAACGCAGTACACTTTCTTCATCAGACATGAGGTAAATTCTTGCTTCGTTCCCAAAAGCCCATTTGACTTTCATTATTGTAATATGCAAGAAAAGTTATATTATTAAAATATTGAACATGGTAGTATTTGTACTACCTTTAATGCAAATTATAAAAAAGTATGATTTTACTTGCTGTATTCCTGAAATGAGAATCATCATTTAAAACAACAGAAATTATATATAAATTAAATTAATATTAATTTTAGAAAAAAATATATAGTTCAAATAAATTGGGTGGTTTCTTTTGACGTTGACCTGGAAATTGACCAGTGTTTTTATTGTTAACCAAAACTATTAAAGATATTTATTAAAAACTATTAAACTTTTTTTTTTGTTAATTAAGCTAAAGAAAATATAACTGAAAAAAAAAATGAAAACTGAAATAAGTTAAAATAAAAAATTAAAAAAAGTTAAGTATTTACAAACAATGAATAAAAACGACAAAAGCAAGGCCAAAATACTTAATTAAAAATAAAATCTAATTCAAATATTAAATATACAACATTTATTTATAATACTAAAATAACACTGGTATGAGGCAGGGTTAGTATAGTTAACTAAAATTCAAACTAAAAATAATAAAACATTTTTGTTATTTTAAATAAATTATTAAAAAAAACTATTTTATTTCAGCTTTAAGGCAACATTTCCCAATTTTATTTAGTTGGCCTTGATGTACTAAAATAACTTAAATCAAAAAAAACTATACTGCCATTTTTAAATTATAGACATATTTGATGTCCAAATACAACAAAATTACTAAAACTTTAACTAAAATTAAAATAAAAACAAAATTCAAAATATGAATAAATACATACAAATAACTCTAAAACAACATTGATATTAATGAAATTACTGTATAATCGTCAAATATACACACTAAGAGTAAACGTAATTACGACAGTGATGTCAACAGCCAATCACAAGCCTCGGTTTTACCGCAGCAGAATAAACCCCAGCGAGACTCACCGTTTTACTCGCCCTCGGCGCTTCACGACGCTCTTCTTTAACGTCCGTCTTTTTAACTTTGTCCGGCGTCATGTTCTGCACTTCTTTCCTCTCCTCCTTTACCGCCGGCTCCTCCTCCATCTTCTCGATGACATCATCAGCCTTCACCTTGACGCTCTTTTTCGTCTTCTTATCCGGCGAGCTGACGGGTCCTCCGTTCGCGTGAGGAAGACTCTCACCGCCGTCCACGCATTTTAATTTCTTCTTCTTGCTCTTCTTCTCCGGCTTTGTCTCTGAGCTGATGATGTCATCCGGTCGTTGTTTCTTCTTCTTCTTATTCTTCTTCTTTTTCTCCTTTTGCACTTCCACTATGCATTCATCAGCTTCTGTCTTTTTTCTTTTCCTTGTCTTTGTTTCTCCATCCTCCATTCCTGTGTTTGGTTTTCTTTTTTTCTTCTTCTTTTTCAGCGTCTCTACACTGTCATCTTCCTCTTTGACCTCCACCTCCTTTTTCGTCTTTTGATTTTGAATACCTTCCACCTCATCTTCATATCCTTTTTTCTTGCCTTTCTTTTTCTTGGACACTAAATGCTCTTCTGGCTCCTCCTCCTTGATCTTCCTCTTTTTCTTCTTGATGGTATTGTCAGGAGCATCGCTGATATTGATTTCTGAGCGCTCAGCTTTGACGGTAGTCTGGACGGACACATTGTGACACACCGTCACGGGGCTGTTTGCTTCCACCTCCTCCTTCACTTTCTTTTTCTTCTTCTTCTTTTTCTTCTTCTCCTCATTTACGACCATCGGTTCTTTTTTCACAACAGTCTGAACGGACACATCATGGCACTGCATCACGTTTGTGTTTCCCTCATCCTGGTCGACGACTTCTTCCTTCACCTTTATTTTCTTCTTTTTCTTCTTCTCTTTGGTCGCCCCGTCAACTGCCATGTTTTCCTGAGTTTAATTAAATCGTCAGCAGGTTCCTCAAAAACTTGCTTTTTGCATCCTCGAGTTGCAGATTCTGGGTCAGCCTTCACCATCTACAAACGCAAGGAAAACAGCATTATATGAGATGGATAAATGACATATTTATATGAAACATTCAAATGTTTATTCATAAGTTATAAGAAATAAACTATCTATAGGTCACTCTTGCACCGGAACTAGCCAGTGATTATGAAGTTATAAATATTTTTCTCACAAAAATGCATCACTTTGCCTTATAAGGTCTTTATTAACAACCCTGGAGCCATATGGATATATTTTGTGATGGATGAATATGCTTTTTGGACTTCAAAATCTAAGGTACCATCCACTCCCATTATAAAGATGGGAAGAGCCAGGATATTTGTTTTAATATAAATCCGATTGACTATGTTTGGCTTATAGAAGAAACTCATATACACCTAGGATGGCTTGAGGGTGAGTGAATTAGGGTATAATTTTCATTTTGGGGTGAACTAACGTTAATTATTTAGCGAGAATGTATTTTCCATTAACTTGCTGTACTACAAGGCTGTTTGTGTCGAGAAGGAAAAACATAACAATGACATTATGTTGATGTGTTTATGCCATGACAGCTGGGTCAATTTAAAAAATATATATCTTTTAATTTGTAAAATAAAGAAGCATCTTATTATAGCAACATTATTAAAACAACTTGTAACTTATCGTCAAAAAGGCAGTTAAATTATGTGCATAATACGTAACATTAAGTATAAGCAGCGAGCGAGCGCTTCGCTAATAGCAGGTTAATATTATTAGTCGTTTGGCACTGTATTATTTAAGTTAAATGTATGTTTTATTACTTACTCATTCGCCACACGTGGGAAAGCTTTTCTTTTTGACTCTTAATCCGGAAGAAATCGCTCGTCCACTTCCTTGGCAACAGCAACTAGAAAATGCATCATGTTTTGCCAATGCCAACCGCCATTTTTAAACAACAGCAGAATAATGCGTGTGCGCATGCGCACAACGCAGTTCGCAAACAGTGACAGGAGGCGATTTGAAAACACGGTAGAATGTTTATTATAATTTATTTCAAATATAGAGACACCCAATATAGGGAAAAATACAACCATTCTGTGCACCACGAGCATAATAAAGAGCGAATTCAGGATTTTCCACCGACCCTGTTGAAAGTGTCTCATTCTGTGAGACAGCAGCATTCATACACATTCATTACCGCAGAGAACACACTCAACACAGTTTTGCCTTACAAGATCAAACACGGCGTAAAATTTATAGATGAATAGCATCAACTGCATCATGAAGACTGGCAATCAAGCGTGCAAAGTTTGGAAAAAAACACCAAACGCTGAAGTGATATCAAAACAAACATAAAGATAAACATTTGAAAAAGGTCAATTGGACTATTTATACAAAACAGTTAAAGTAAATTAAATACATTTTAATAAATGTCAAAGTTATAGATTTTGATTATTTACAGTGGAATGCAGGCAGAAGATTTGCTAAGGCTAGAAATTAATGAGATAATCCATTTTTCATTCTCTCACACAATCTTTGTGTAAAGTCATCATGAAATCACATAACACCCTATTTACTTCCTTAAAGGGATAGTTCACCCTAAAATTAAAATTCTGTCAGTATTTACTCACCCTCATGTTGTTCCAACCCCGTAAGACCTTCGGAACACAAATTAAGATATTTTTGATGAAATCTGAGGGCTGGATCATTCCTCCATACTAGTCCATATGGCTTCTTGAGGGATTGAAACTTGCCGCCCTCGAAAAGTTATTAAAGACATCGTTAAAATAGTCCAAGTGACTACAGTGGCTCAATCTTAACTTTATCAAGTGATGAGAATACATTTGTGTGCAAAAACAAACATAACGACTTTATTTCAAGTCAACTATTCACTTCCTTCTCTTTGAGCGTCTATTGGAACAACATGAGGGTGAGTAAATACTGACAGAATTTTAATTTTTGGGAGAACTATCTTTTTAATACACATTTTTGGTTACATTTTGAATTATTAATCTGTGCATGTTATTCTTTGTAAACGGGACTCTGAAAAAACGTGCCTTTTTGACTGATATCACAGATCCCCACCCAGCTAACAGGGACGTTCTCAGAACGTTCTGGCAAGGTTCTCTCAAAGTTATGAACAAATGTTATTCCAGTAATGGTAATTGAGTGCAACAGCGCCCTCTAGTTCTGGAAGTATTTTTTCCATTTATTTCTCCCATTGGGATTTTAAAAAAAGTCTTTGTTAAAGCATTATAATTCATTAAGCCAGTCAGCTACAAGGTGTACCACAACACTAAAAAGTTTGATCTGAAGCAAAAAAAAATTAAATTAAAAATTTAAAATTTAAAATTACAAGCCTGTGTAGCCTTAACAACTTTGGTGAGGTAAAAAATTACAATCCCATGAAGTATAATTTAATTAAAAACGATGGAGGAATATACAACTTCTCATTTACAAATGTTGATTGTATATATAAAAAATAATATACTTTAAGTTTTGTGCAAAATATGCTATTTTGGCACCTGTTGCTTGTTTCGACTATGATTGGTGGCATTTTTGAACAGCATCATGGGTAATGTAGTTTTTCACCAGGAATTCCTCTGTTAAACACATTATTTTAAAAATAAGCTGAAAAATGTGGGCTGACATCTTCAGCAGAAACAAACACCATTGATTAACAACCTCACAGCTCACAGTAAGGATGTTTTTGAACATTTATAAGTTATCGTTTAAAAATCAACTTTCCCAATGGAGAAAATTAATGAAGTTTTAACTTCCAGAACCCAGCCTTTGCTGTCTATTGAATATTCGTTCAGTGTTATCTGGTCTTTAATAATGTTCTCAAAACGTTAGTACAAAAATAATGTTTTTTAAATGCTACTAATTGTTTAAAACCTGGACGCTTTGAACATTTAGAAACTCATAACTTAATGAGAACATTAGCAAAACATGTTCCAATCACTTGCCATATAGTGACACTTTTAAACAGCCAATCACTTCACAATGAGTAAAACCATTCATTCATATAAACAATTATTCTCTTACGCTCAGAAATGTTGCATTATGTAAGTAAAATGGGCTTGTGAATGGCGTTTCATATGGACTTATCTTTTTATGTAAATTCTGACAGCTCATAATTTGTCTGATTCGTTTAATCTAAACAGACATCATCAGTGTAATATCAAATATGTAATGCGTCTTGTATTTTCTATCAAGCACTTAAAAGAGATCATGTGCAAAATTATCCTGCTCCCATGTTGAAAATGCCCGTTAAATTAAATCAGCTTTACTTTAGGTATTTTATTAGTGGAGCATTCCCAAATTATTAACATGGAACCGTAATAAAGTGCCTCTCGACCCTGTGAAGCCAGCCGAAGTAGAAGAGGGCATTATTGCCATGGTGGCCGCTCTCACCACAGATGCCTCCCTGTGAAGTTTGGAGGGGCGGTTGGGATCTGAAACACAGAGCAGGTGTGTGTGAGACTGAGACTCATTCAGTATCTATCATATTGTTAATGTATTGTATCTCACCTGTCCTGCATTCATGAGCAGTGTCATCTCAGTGGGCTGGTAAACGTGACTCCTGAAGGGCATTGCGGGCCGGACCAATCCGTTATGATAACCTCCAGCCTGCAGAACTGTGAAAACCACAAAAATATATATTAAATATGTGTATTATTATTATATAAAACAAACAAAAACAAATTATAGGAAATCTGTGTAATAACACTAATCTGTCCATACACCATATCCACTATTTAAAGGGATACTCCACTTTTTTTTGGAAATAGGCTAATTTTACAACTCCCCCAGAGTTAAACAGTTGGGTTGTACCGTTTTTTTAATCCATTCAGACGATTTTCTGATATTTAAAGGAATATCCGTAACCAGACTGTTTCTAGTCTCATTGACTTCCATAGTAGGAAAAAAAATATACCATGGAAGTCAATGAGACTAGAAACTGTCTCGTTACTGATATTCAAATATCAGAAAATCGGCTGAATGGATTCGAAAACAGTAAAACTCAACTGTTTAACTCTGGGGGAGTTGTAAAATGAGCCTATTTCCAAAAAAAGTGGAGTATTCCTTTAAACATATGGGCAATTAAATGAGATTAAAACGTTTTGCATGTTTCTCCCCTGAAAACACAAACATTCCCATATGGTTGCCAAACTTGCCATTTGGTATTATTTGAGAACCAAATAATAACGTTCTAGAAACATTCTCTGTAACTTATTTTTTGTAACCAAAACCTAACCTTCCCAGAACGTTGCATGAAGGATTTTGCAACAACCTAAAGAGAACCTATAGACGAATCCGACGAGCGTTCTGTGTAGGCTGCCATCTTGTGGCGACGCCATTACTGTTACACAGGCATATAGACATATGCACCGGTATGTAAACAAACCTCGGTGATAACGCAAACTCACCCTCGATGACAGCTACAGCCAGGCAGAATGACTTGTTGGTTTGATCTGTGACTGCAGTGGCCTCCAGTCACAGATGAAGGTACAAACGATCTTACAGATTAACGTTATTTATGAAAATAGCTTGGCAAGCTAGCTAGGCTAACGTTTGCTAATGAGGAAACTATGAAAAGATCTGTCCATTTGGCAACAATAAATAAATAAATGAATGAAATCAAATAAACAAATTTATGTTTTTCATTTGTGTCCATTATTTATCTCATTTTCACATTGCAACAGGCAAGGGTAAGGTAACGTTACAGCTAGAAAGTATACATAATATCGACCAATTAGTGTTTTTAAACCATGGAAAGAGGTCAATATAACAGCAGGAAAACAATTATGTCACATAACGTTACATTTAGCTCAGGAAAGCCATTTAATGACCATAGCATGTTAATTGAATAGAAAAAACAGCAAGAGAGGAGATTTTGCTGATCACTATATCACATATTTATTATATTTTTTTTACTCATGTCATTAAATAATTGTTATTATACGCGAATGTCCACGTCTTGTACTCGCCCAGGAAATCTGTAAACCGTACGGCACCAGACAGGGGCAGTCGACCCGGGGTATTCACAATGTTTTCTCTTCAAAATTTAAATTTTACTGCCACCATTGAAACAATTTATAACGGAAACTGTTTACCCACTCGACATTATACAAGGGGTAACGTTGTAACGTTAGTGACAGTCGTAAATCGCGGGCTGTTTATTCCAGTGGACGTAAAGTTGCAACAAAAACAATAGGAGGCAATGGCGCAACGCTACCCAGCAACAGCTCAGTAATGGCGCCCCGCTTACTTCCGGTAGTTTCGCCGGATTCGTCTATAGACAGAATGTTCTCTAATCTCAGACAGCAACATAGTGTCGGCCCATATCCGGCCCACATCTGTTATGCGTTGAATCCACATGTTCCAGATGTGGCCCGGATAACCAAAACCAAACCTCCCCATAACGTTGCACATGTTTTTGTTTAAAGACCCACCTGCGCTGTGCTCTTCTACAGTGTACGCCTGACTCTCTGTGAACGGAGCTCTGGGATTGGCTGGCCGCTCGTCGTCATGGTAACTTTGCGCCACCGGGGGCTGAGGGGTGTCGTAGTAGTTCTGGCCGGAGTCCGCGTTCCTCTGACTGGACGGACGCAAACACAGGTGCGTTTCTGGTATAGCGTGAAATAACAACAGTATCCAACCTTCGGTCACCAAGGCAACCGCCAATGCCGGCTCATCCCAATCCTTCGCCGCGGTCATGATGCCAGCGTTGCCGTAGAGATAGAGGCCGAGCCAGGCGACCCAGAGGAGAAGCGAAGAGAGACACGAGAGGAAAAGCCAGACGGCGTTACACCTCCACTTCATCCTCTTCCTGCTCGACTCCTCTCGGTTTCTCCCGCCGCACAACACGACGGCTAACGACAACACAGTGGCGGCTAGCAACAAGACTAGAGCGTAGCTGCACACCAACGCGAAGTCTAAAGGCAGGTAATCGCAAGCGCCGTGTCCCTCGCGGACCACCGTAAGCAGCAGCCACTCTCCAGCAATGATGCCTTGAACAACGGTGAGTGCCACAGCCAATCTGGCGAGAGAACTCCCCGCTAGGCTCCGCCTCCCTCCGGCTAGCTTCTTCAGTCGCACTCCCTGCACTAGCAAACACGAGAAACACATGGCAAACAGCACCCCCCACAGGCCACGCCGCACCATGCAGACCACCTCGTCACGCCCCACCAAGAACACCAGCGATAGGCTGAAGAGGCCAACCGTTCCGGCCAATAGGAGGAGGAGGGGACCAACGCCGCACCGTTTCTCTGGTTCCGTTACCGTTTTCAGTTTGGCTAACAGAATCATGACCAGGATCAAAGCGGATATGGTCCCACCGCACGCTACGGCCTCCAGCACCACGCCCCACACGGACTCCAGGTCGCACAGAACTCTGTAGGGCGGGTCCACTGTAGAGCCACACCCAGGAGGAGAGGGCGGGGCCTGAAGAGTGGGCGGATCCTCCAGAGCGCAGCAGCCAATCAGAGCGAGAGTGAAGATGAGGGTGGGGCTTAGACCCATGGCTGAAAGAGAAAGAGCACAGCTGTATTTTTTCCATTCGTTTTATGTAACCTTTGTAACCTTTTATCATGTCTTGGAGTATCTCAATAACATCACATCGTGATATGTGTCGAATCGTGACATGAGGGTATCGGTACACCCCTAGTTAAAAGACATGAACTGAAACAACCAGAATCACAATGAATCACAACATTGTTTTTCAACGGAATATTACTGTATTCATTTTTAAATGATTTTATCTGTCCATTTAAAAATAAAAATTCCTATGTCCTTTTAAGCTTTAATTAAAATATTTTCCACTCCCGCTTTCGGCGACATCTCTTCTCTTCTCTTGCCCTGTTTACTCCTGGTGTTAAGATGTGTTTTGGCCGATCGGATCACAAGTAGACAAGGAGACATATTCCCGCTCACACCTGGCGTTTTAATCCATCTCTTTTGTCCACTTTCAAACACTTCTGTCCTGATTTCTTCTAGGGGAGGGGCTAAAATGGATGTACCATAATGTTCACGCATTAGATCAGTAGACGGAGAGAAGACGGTCATTTGAGACTGTTTTTAACACATTCGACCACATGAGCGTTTACACGACGAAAGCAATCTTGTCGAAATGTTTCCTCTGGAAGTGGTCGAAAGTGGACAAGCTGAAAACGCTTTAGTAATATACATCTGTATTTAGTGTCGTCCACTTGTGATCCGACTGACTGAAACGCATCTTAATACCAGCTGTAAACAGGGCCTGTGATGATGATGTGTTTAATGGTGTGAGGGCGGAGCAACAGTCACTCACATCAGATCCACCAATAGCAAACCACAACAATCCAATCAATTCATCACGAACAAAATTGAGCTCCACCCTACATCTGTTCTTGTTCGTGAAGCAATTTCTGTTTATATTAATGGAAACTTAAAAAAATGGCAAACTACTGTCGCAATGGATTATGAGGAAGACAGACTCCATTGCTTACTGGATTAAATAATTATAGGAATTTTGCGGTTAAATACAAGTGATAACTTGTAGTTTAACTGGCTAATTTATATTCTACTATTTCACCTAGTGATGGCTTGCTTTGCACAGGGATACAACATTCAAATCTAGTTGTGTGTGACACTTAAATTGACATTTCTATTGGCTTTTGGTTATTTCAAATTGTATTAGTGTGCTGCAAGGCCACTCTTGTCCCTTAATAGGTCTTTTAACTGGTTAAATAATTATTGCGGCTACTAAATTTTGCAGATGCATTTGCTCATCCTCTGCTGCTGAGTTGTAAAGAGCTTCCTTCCACTTTGTCTCGCATCCTCTACTCCTTTTAAACCCCGACGACAGTTGCTATGGAAACCAGAGGCGCGCGTGGGCTGGCCTAGATGGAGCAGCACGCAATTTACATAGCCAGAAAAACACAAGCGCGCGCGCGCACACAGGCACACAAAACACATTCATGTTCAAACATAAACAACTTTAGGATCAAATTTATCGGAGTTACTTAAGCACAGCAAAACGATTAGATCTCCAGACTAAACAGTTACATAATCCACTGACAGATACGAAGTGTTACTCACCTGACCAGTTCAGATTGTGTTTTAGATGAAGCCTTGATGTGTATTTATTAGCGCTGGAGAGTTTCCTCAACTCACATTTCCACCATCCTCATCGCGTCGCGGGAATAATCCTGGAAAACACACTCTTGCGCGCGGACATTGCAACCGAGCACCGCTCTTGTTCTCCGTGCTCAATAGTTGAAAATCAGTGACAGTTTCACACCCACACACTACATCATCATTCTATCTTTATTTCTATTCTTCTTCGTCTTTCTCTCAGGCTGATTGTGTCAGTGCTGTGGAGAGCAGTTGCAGATCAGCAGAGACTGAGATCCACTTCTGAGTGGATATAAAGCGCACTGGACCGATCAGTCCATCCTCACTGTCACATCTCTCTCTCTCTCTCTCTCTCTCTCTCTCTCTCTCTCTCTCTCTCTCTCTCTCTCTCTCTCTCTCTGAAGGGCTTCATTTGCAGCATTGTGACTGATGCAGAGCCTATAAATACACCACAAACACTCTCATCATAATCGGGGGGCTCAAACTTCTGGCCTGAAGACCTCTGATTATTAGACCTCTTTCTGTCGTTGACCGCTGGCTGTCCACTTGTGTATGTGTGTGTTTGTGTGTGTGTGTCCGTGTGCACTGACTTGAGGGACTCTTATGTAATAAAGATCCCACCGCTTTCAGGTCATACAAGTGTGTGTGTGTTTGTGTGTGTGTGAATGTGTCTATTTAAGTAGCCTTCAGATAGGCTAATCCTGTGCAGTTGTGCAGTGAGCCATATCAGAAGTGTCTCCAGCCCTCCGCTTTCATGTAGGGTCTGTTTTAGTTAGAATATTTCATAATTCACCAGTAATTAGTACAGTGAATATTAAGTGGGATCTGAGTGGAGAGACATTTCCCAATGCTTAGGAAACATACTTCGGCTTGAGACGCACTCTCTCTTTTTCTCTCACACACTCTCTCACACACATCCACACATCACTTACTCACTCACCTTCTTTCTCTCACACACTCTCACTCCCTCATTCAAACACACACACCACACTCGCACAGATATGCGTCAGCACGCTGTAACAGATTATCTCTTGATGACGATTAGGTTAAGCTGCATTTAGATGACTTGCTAAACTCCTCTCGTGCAGGAGGACTGGAGAGCTGAATGTTTTAAATAGGGTTGCCATAGTGATCGCAGCTTGTTTTGTACTATGCGTACCTAACTACAGGGATCCGTCCCAGAACTGTAGCTAACGCTCTGGCACGTTAAATACGTTTCTGCTTCGTTCTTGTTTTTTGTTTAATTTTAAGAGAACGTTCCAAAGTGAAGTTCCCTGAAAATATGTTTTAAAACCGCACGTTTTTAACAAAAGTTCTTGAAAATGTTTTTGTTAGCTTTATGGGATGTGACATCTATGTGGTATAAACCACTGTCAGGAACATGTTCAGCATGCGTAACACCTCCTCAGAGAGGCATGAATGCAGCACTGAAGATAATGAGCTGGTAACTTTACTGTAATGACTTAACTTTACACAGACAGATTATCCTCACTGCTGTCCTCCATACTGAAGGGTCATTCGGTCACTGAGGACACAGCGTATATATAGGACTACACTGATAAAAACATTCTGTGGTGAAGTAAATGCTACAGAAATCAAATGTAGGCCTAATTTCTACTTGAGAAATTTAATTGTATTTACACTGCTTTACCATAATTGTTGTTAGATTTGGTAACTTGCCATTTTGTGAGATCTGGGTTCATTTTCTACTTAAAAAGGACACATTCACAGTCAAAAATGTACGTTCTATCGAATATTACTGTCATTATGTATTGTGTACCAAGTATTGAGGTCTCTGTTCAGCTGCCATTTATTTCTGTTACATAAATACAGAATGTAAACTATACAATATCTAGATTTTTCTTAGTAAAGGATGTATTTTAAAAGTGTGCGTTAAATTATATTGTTGGAGTAAAAAGTTACGATTGTTAAATTTTGTTAGTTAGGTAGATGTTACTACAGTATATTCCATATGTGAAATAATATAATTAAGTAATATGTAGTTATTTTTTTCAATTAAATGTTTAGTGTCAATTAAATGTCAAATGATCAGTTCAATAGTAAGTCGATTTTACTTAACTTGATAATAACAAGTTAGTTATAGAGCAGTAGCAGTAAAATTTACTTAAAATGTGTTTTTTTCAAAGGATTTTATCATGCAAATGCTTCAAATAATTTTTTTAATGATTTTATAATCATTATATTTTATATATCATATTTTATAATATGATTATAAAGATTGTTTTTGTAATATATATATATATATATATATATATATGAAGAGTTCAGATGCAAAAGCCTCTAAATGCCATTTGAAATTTTCTTCTTTAATGAAGATTTTTATCAAACTTGTATATTTAAGTTCAGTAATTTCACTTAAATAACAATTAATAGGTAATTATCATTGCCATTTAAGTGAAATCACTGAACTTAAATATACAAGTTTGATAAAAATCATCATTAAAGAAGAAAATTTCAAATGGCATTTAGAGGCATTTGCATCTGAACTCTTCATATATATATATATATTCATTTTAAAACAATGGTTTTGTACTCTCTCAGTAATTCAAAGGAAACTCTCACGTCAGGTCAAGTCAAGCTTGTGTCGTGATTCTCCTGTGGAAAATGTAGTGATGTAAAATCACAATAAGAGGACGAAGCCCTGAGGCTCCGACTGAACACTGTTGAATCACAGCACTCTTCTGCACTCATGCACAAACACACACACACACACACACATACCAGTTATATTTGTGAAGTAAATCTAAAGGTAATTGTTTTTTTCATTTTCAGTCTGAGGACGTGAACAGCTCCAGGTAGAATTTCATTCATGACCTTGCACAGTAATATACCATAGAAAACAATGCATTCTGGGTAATATTCGTTGTTTTTTGGGAAAACAGCCTACAGGAATACTGTGACACTCAAGTCTACACTCAGAGGCTGTAACCAAATCACACACCATACCCTCATTCACTATTCCCTACATTAGTACACTAATATAGTCCACTTGACAGAGTGAATGAAAAGAAGTGAATGAATTCAGACACTGATAAACACCTTGTGTTAACAAGCAGAATCACTGAAAAACAGAGAAACAAGAACAGAAAAAAGAGAAACACTACAACTGACTTCCAGCCACACTGAAAGCAGTTTACAAACCAGTTTAACATTATTTCTGTAAAAAACATTATTAATGTAAAAAATCTTGTTGAGAATTAACAGAGATTTAGGTACAGGTGTTTTATTGATAATAATAAATATTGTGGTCATCATTATGATGATCAGTATTTGCTTTAGTTGGGCTGTTGACTCTGTAACATTATTTTTTCTCTGGTTCCTGTAACTGTGGGAATGTACTCATCTGTTTCACTGATCTCTTGCTGTGTTTAATCTTTAATTTGTATGGGTATTTTAATTTTATATTTATTGATATATCACTGTGAATCTACAGCATGAGATCCAGCAATGTTTCAATCAGTTATTTTGAAGCATCAGTTAACAATTAGCATATGAATCTCAACAATGGTAACAATATAAAGTTTCAACGCATGCTCTGTTGGCACCCAGCATGCAAACAATACAATGCATGCTGGGTGCCAACAGAGTAAACAGAGTAAAACACAATCTCTTGCTCTAGTTTCACAGTGGTGGTGATGTCAAATTTAAGTATGTTAATAATTTAACAATTTTGGGGTCAAACATGGTTTTAATATTTAGACCATTTCTATTGTCGATTGCTATCAGGATGAGAAGAGAGTTTCAACCAGTAGGCCTATAACAAAAAGTGTTTATAAAACAAATTGAGGTTGTGTAGGTACTAGGGAGTTTTCATTTGTTGCTTTTTCATTTATTAGCCACTAGAGAGCGTCCTAGTACCTGCTAAGTTTTTGAGTCAACATGTATCCTCACAACAACATCTACAAGGCTGTATCCAACTTAATGAATAGTGGGCCACCTAAATCTTTCTTTACATTTATCTTCGGTCTACCCAGTTATTAAATATTTAGATAAAATATAGATCTATAAATCTATGTAGATAGAAGTCCATAAATGGACTTCATTTGGTTGCTGTTTTACTTGTAGTGCCTTATTTTTGTTGTATAGACTGTTGGCTTCATCTGTGTGTTCTATTTAACTATTTAGATTTTTATCGTTTTTTATAAGTTTGTGTTTGTCTTAACTAATTTTGGAAACGTTTTATTAAAAACCTTTATATTAACCTTTTATGTGTGAATGACACACATCTGTTGTCTCCCAGAGGCTAACATTTTTGGCAGTTTAGTGTTAAGTGATTTATTTACACCAAAACAAAAGATAACATGTATGCCTTTTCCTCGTTTCTTACATTTCAAGACTGGTTACAGCAGACTCATTTTCCGTCAGTTGTGGTTGCCACAGTATTTTATCGTAAAAAATATGGTGACAACCTTTTATGTTTTACGAGACTTAAATTCATGGGCAAAAAAATTGAAATTTACTGTAAAAAAAATGTCAGTTTGGTTAAATTGACAGAAGAAAAAAAAAGCAGGACTAAAATGTGTGGCAAAAAATAATCAGCTTGTGGTTCCTGGTACTTTACCATAAAAAATACAGTTGTATAATTTTAGTTTACAGGACAGCCCTTATATTTAATTAACCACTAAACGTTATCATCCAATTTCACTTAAGTATTAAAATCTGTTTTATACCTTTGTAATATACTGATAACCACCATAATAATACATGCAGTAAAAAAGAAAACCACATCATGATTCAATGTTCACCATTGGTTTTCCACAAGCTGAAACGCACATTAATATAAAAAAGGTGCACAGTGTCATACACACAAATACAAAACACAATCATGGTGACACACATATGACTCCAAATAATGCCATAAATATTCATTAAACAATATGATATAATATAAACCCCAAATGTATATAACTGATAACAAAAACTAAGGAGAACTAATTATTTAAACTAATAATTGAACTAATTATTTAAATTAAATAACATAAAATGTGGTGTCACGCAGGGAATGTCAATTTAGAGAAACAACAAGAACAGAAAACAGAGAAGATACGAGCAGAAACAAAAGAACCACAACTGACTTCAGCCACAGCCTTAGATAAAATCAACCGAAGAGAAAAGACGACATTAAATTTCTGAAGATCCCAGTAGAGGAGGAATAAACCACTCCACAAACAGCATTATCAGCTTCACTTACTAACCATTTGATTAAAACAGACTTTTTCAAACAGAAAAAGAGGCAAATGCTGTTGGTTATGTTTTGATGATGACTTAATCAACATTGTAGTAGCCTGATTCACTGAATTCATGTAGAGTGTTATCTTT